TAGAAGATTATTTTATTTTTAATTATGGTTAAAGTATTCATTTATTTTAAAAAAATATATATAATTCATATAGGTTTAGATTTCTTTTATAGTAACATGAAATAGCACGATGATTTCGCTCAAGCGATGCGTAAGGCCGCTATCATAGTGGCGACACGATTTTACAGCTGATATATTTTTAAAATGTGTTTAAGTGATCAATTTTTCTTTTTAAAATCGATACTTTATAGAATTAAAGTATTATTAATATTATAAACAAATTTTAAAAATTTATCAGCTGTTAGATCGTGTCGGATCAGATCCCACCATGAATGCAACCTAAACAAATTATATAGTGTTAAATTCTACAGATATGTTCCGTTTAGCGATGATTTATGTATCGTTTGAGCGACATGACGATTATTATAAATAGGGCCTTATTTTTAATTAATTTGATTTTTTTTTACTGAGCAAAATTTATTTATAAAGAACAAATTATTTATTTTACTGACCAATTATTTTTTTGTTGATCGAAAGATACTGACCAATTTTAAACTTAATATATCGAGATTCCATTATTTATATTGATTAAATTTTACTTAAAAACCTACTGATCAATTGAGAATTTCGTAAAAATATAATAAACTAGCAGAATTAAATATTTTTACGTTTAAAATGAAATTTAACAAAATGATATACTTCAAGAAAAATCAAATACTTTTTGTATTTTTCTAATTTTATATTCATTTTATAGGAATAGGTGCGACTTCTACATTTTTACAAGCTTCTGGTGGAGGTGGCGGTTACAATATACTATGTCTACCTGAAATTCCAGAACTAGAGGAATCTACGTATGAAAAAGATATAGATTATGATTCAAAATGGGAAAAACACGAAACTTGGGCAGGAATCGAAGGTGTATCTATTATCAAAAACGTTTTCAACAGTAACAACAATCATGATATAAAGCCCCCTTGGTACAATAAAAGAGATGCATACAAATCCCCAAATCTAATCCCTCCACTAAAATGTACTCTGTGCGTAAAACATTATGTAAACGCGATTTTAATGATACCAGGGAAACAAGATTGCCCTCCCTATTGGAAATTAGTTTATAATGGCTATTTGACATCAACTAGAAGCGAAAAATCTCATGAAAATACCAATAAAGTAAAGCATAATCAAAACGAGGAAATAGAAAATAATCAATGGGCGAAAAGGGATGTGTATGATAACTCCAAATCGCGATGGTTAGAGAGGAATAATAAGGTTTCATCGTTATTTAATGATACTCTGGACCTGGATGTGCCAAAATACGTAGTAAAGAGATCTGAATACGATTCTGATTATAGCCATTATCAGTGGTCAGAATACATATGTCTTGACATAAACGTGGAAGCGGATATGGACTCCTCGCATGTTTCGGAGTCCGACAACGATACAACAGGAAAAGAACCATTTTTATCCTTAGTTTCGTCACCCTGCTGGCAAGACCCAGATTCACATCATGACCATTGTAAACCTCAGATTTTACCTTGTGTAATATGTGCTTTGTGATTTTTTAAAATATAAAATATAAATCTAGATGTAATAGCAAAATTTTAAATTTTTTTTTTACATTTTAATAAAATGAAATACCTAATATAATGAAACGTGATATTTATTATTACTGTGACTAGGAATTATATCTTCTTTCAAATTTAATTGCAAGATTAAGAAATCGTTGGTTATATTGTTGAGCCTATTAATTTAAAATAAATAAATTATAAGCAGATGTATAAATTATTAAGTAATTTTTTAACACGGGATCAAAACTAGAATAATTATTAATTAATTCTTGGAGTGAAATTACAATAATTAAGGAATAGATCAATGACATATAATATGTATTGGAATAGATATACATTAGAAATAAATCTAAATACTCGAATAAGAAATAGATGAAAATTTTACAGGACCAAGGGAAATTAAAGAAAAACTGGTAAAGGGGAGGGGCTGAAAAATAGGGAAAATTGAAAAAAAATATCGGATACATTAAGTAAGACTTATTTCCATGTTAATAGATCAATCAGATTGTGAATGCAAATAATAACACCATAAATTATTACCTTTATTTATTTTATTTGTTAGAAATATTTTACAATATAATTGAGAAAATAATAAGTTAAGTTTATCCCACATGGACATCAAAAAGAATGATTGTGCAACTAGATGTGGTACTGAAATAGAACTTGTCTAATTATATCTCTATTCCATCATTTTCGTAGATCTGTATTTTATTAAATATAATTTAGATTAATAAATGTTACATATTTTCTCACTTTCTTTTGAAATCTGGGAGTATTTAAATTCAACGACCATATTCTTTCTTCTGCCACACTGATAGCTAGCATTAAAAGTGATATTTTTTAAACTAATATATTTGTTAAAGAAGGGCCATGTTATCGGTTTTTATTCTATACTTTCTTAAATTATGTTTTATACCAAAACCTTCTTTTACGTTTTATTGTTGAAATAAGCTAATGTTTTTACAATATTTAAATGATATTTTGCCATTATATTTATAAATGTAAAGCATGACAAAAGAATTTCTTTTTACTAATTCTTGTAATAGTGTCACTTTAAGAATATAATGTATAAGGGGATGGTGACACTAAAGCATCAAGCTTTTGTCTAACGCATCTAAACGCTTTGAAAACATCTGATCTGTCGAGTAGCATCAAGCTTTTTTCTCGCATCTAAACGCATCGAAAGCATCTGATCTGTCGAGTTCGTCATCTAAACGCTTCGAAAGCATCTGATCTGTCGAGTAGCATCAAGCTTTTCTCTCGCATCTAAACGCTTCGAAAGCATCTGATCTGTCGAATTCGTTTAAATATTTTAAAAAGATATCAATTTTTCCATAATATATTTCAGGGACCTTCAGAGGTACCACTTGCACGGCCTGGATCTGTTTAATATTTTCAGGCCCAGCCCAAATTTTTTTAAAATATATTACATTTATTTTTAATTTTAATAGTTAATAATGGCGATTTAAAATTTGGTTTTAAAATATTAGGCCCGACCAGGGTATTTTTTTAAAAAAAATTGACCTAGACCCGGGGATATTTGTGAAAATTAAAATATAACCCAAGCCTGTTTGCGGAGAAACCCTTATACCTTGGCTGTTACGCCACTGCCCTAAACCTTCAATATCTAAAATAAAATTTCCCTTAGCTTTGTAAGAAAAAATATATAATGAATTGCCATATCTAGCAACAAATCGTAAGTTTTTAATTACCCTAAATTCATAGTTAGCACGAATTCGCGGGTAAGAAAATAATTACAGCGTATTTTGTACAATAGGCCCCGAGAATTCTTGCTAACTATGAATGACCGGTTAGACTCTTCATTTATGATAATTTGCTTCGAATTTGCACTAACTCAAAATTGAGCCTTTGCGATTTGCAGTGCTATTTTAATTTTAAAAAATTAATGCATTCCTTATATAAATTGGAGCTGCCTTTTAATTTGTATCGTCGATTCAAAATTCTAACTAAGTTATAAAATAGATTTGGGTTTTCTAAATTATTCATCATCTGCTTTTTATTTTATTAATTTATACATATTCTATTTAAAAAAAGAGTAATTTTTATACATTTCATATAATATTACATTTAATTTACATATTTATGAACAACTAGGAAGGAAATTTTAGTGTCCCCCACCTTATTATTGTTATCTGTGTAATAAGGTTATGTGGCTTTCTATCGAAAAAAAACGAGTTCCTAAAGAACTAATGGTAGACCAGCGTGCAAAATGAATGAATAAAAACATATTGCAAACCAATTTGCGTTTTTTGAAATGATTTCTAATGTCAAGCGGTAATTTGGCCAATTTTAATGACACCATTTGAAATGCATTATTTGCATGTGAAATGCTTAAATGGCGCATTATTATACTGCTCTTATGAGTTGGACTTGTAATTTTCAATGTAAAAAATTTGTTTAGCAAAAAATTGAATAATCATTTATAAATAAATGATAATGTATCGAAAGATTTCTCAAAAAAATTAAAAATATAAATGAAATGATTATATCAAAGATATTTGTAAGTAATTAGAAAACAATTCATTTCTAATTCCACTGATTAGTTTCTCTGCCGTTTGTGTTGGAAGTGCCTGCGTTTAGTTCCATTTTAAAGCCAATTAAATTAAAATTTACCAATATCAAAAATAAAATATAAATGAGGAGGGGCAACAGTTTTCTCCATCTTTAAATCACTTTGAAAATCACGCATAAGCCACTTGTTTTATATTATTTTATAATATTTTCATATTACATTTTTTTTAATTTAAATTTATAATGGTGTACAAAATTAAATAGTCCGTATTCGAAGCTATGAATTTAATAATTTATTGCAATCTCTAATAAATTTGTTCAAGAAACCATAAAGCTAAGGGGTATTAAATTTATGTTAACATGCCTAGCCTAATTTAAAAAACACATGTTATTCATTCATTTGGGAATTGAACACTTTTTTTCGGGTATATATGAATTTAAATTTCATAAACTTTACCTTCAAAAAGTCAATATACCCAGCTTTTCCAAAAATGCAATTAATTTATAAATCTATATTTATTTTTAATTGAAATTTCTTTATAAAAAAATTGATAAAAATGTTTTATTCAATTAGCTAAAAAAAAATATTGTATTGGCAAGAAACAGTGCACTCGATGATTTTGTTATGCATGCTTATAAAAAGTAAAATTGTAATTTTTTAAAAAAAAATGAAATTCAAAAAAATATACGACTTGGTAATGTTATCTATTCAATACTATGTCGGGAAAATTTAAGTTGTGATTTAGATTATTGTAGATATATATTTCATGTTTTTTTTTAAAATACCATTTATAATATATACATTCAGGCGATTTTTATAAACTAAAAAAAATCAATACTATTTTATAAACAAACTTTTTGGTTTAAAAAAATATAAATTAATACATTTTTATTCCCATTTTTTTAATTTTTTTTTTACTAAAGCCTTAGTTTGACATGAAATATCTGACCGATTTACTGGATAAAGATAAAATGTCTCTGTATCAAAAATATATGACATTTGATCAAGGGGAAAAAATTCAAGTTACATACATATGGATCGACGGAACTGGGCAAAATATAAGAGGTAAAACTAGAACTGTTAACGCTCAACCTTTGTGTATTGCGGGTATTATTTAAAAAATATATTCATATAGCTAAAATACTATGAATAGAATTACCTATTTGGAACTACGATGGTTCCAGTACTTATCAAGCTGAAGGCTCTAACTCTGATACATACTTACATCCTATATGTATTTATAGGGATCCCTTTAAAAAGGGTAAACATTTACTGACCCTCTGCGAGACATACAAATATAATAAACGTCCATCAGGTATGTAAAATTTTAAAATAAAATATATAATTGATCAAATAAGAAAGCAATCATAGAAATTCGTGCAGACTCACGATGGATAAGGTACTTGATCAAGAACCATGGTTTGGTATCGAACAAGAATATAATTTATTAGATACTGATGGTCATCCTTTAGGATGGCCAAAAAATGGTTATCCTAAACCTCAAGGTATTATATATATACATTATAGAAATAATATATAAAAGATATCAAACATTAACATCATTAGGTCCATATTATTGCGGTGTAGGTGCGGATCGAATGTTTGGAAGGCAAATTGAAGAATCCCATTACAATTGCTGCTTATTTTCTGGAATAAATATTGGCGGAACAAATGCGGAAGTTATGCCTTCGCAGGTAATGACTTTATTTTATTTATCCGATCCATACACATAATCATTTATTTAGTGGGAATACCAAATTGGTCCTAATATTGGAATTGGCGTAAGTGATGAGTTATGGTTATCAAGATATATTATGCATAGAGTGTGCGAAGACTTTAACGTAATATGTTCATTGGACCCAAAACCTTTACCAGATTGGAATGGAGCCGGAGCCCATACCAATTTTTCAACTAAGACAATGAGAGAGACTGATGGATTGAAGTAAGTTATTTTGTTTTAAAAAAAATTTATACATAATGATTTTTCTTAAGGGAGATTGAAAGATGTATTAAACTTTTGTCCAATCGTCATTCTCAACATATTGCTGTATACGACGCCAAGAATGGGGAAGATAATATTAGAAGGTTGACCGGTATCCACGAAACATCCAGTATTCATAAGTTTTCCTCAGGTATAGCAAAACAAAGTATTTGTAATATTATTTAATAGTATAAAAAATACTTTTATTGATAAAAAATATATGTTTTATATGACGACCTGATCCATCCACCTTTTATGGTTTCAATTATTTTTAACACATCTTTAAAATTATTATATAATAGGAACAGCGGATAGAGGGTGTAGTGTGAGAATACCGAGACAGGTAGCCGAAGATAAATGTGGATACTTTGAAGATCGCAGACCTGCCAGCAATTGTGACCCTTATCGCGTTACGGAACAAATTATTAAAACATGCCTATTAGAAGAAATCTAATTTTAACTTTTTAACAATTATTATAACATATTATTTAATATTTATTTAATATTTATAATAATGAAAATTTTAAATTAACATTTTAATAAAATATATAAACAGATGAATAATTTCACAATTTTAAGGGATAAAAAAAAGGGAATCTTGGTAAAATAATTCCACATTTATTTTAATTCAATAAGAAATGCGAATTTTTATATGTTTACAAACATTTCAAATTATTCTATCTATTTCACCATATTATATAGAATATCCATCAATGTATTTTCTAGAGAATTTATTATCATCAAATTATTCTTTCCAAGATTTTAATACTAAAGGGTCCAAAGAGTAAGTCTTTGTTATGAAAAATATTTAATTGTTTACTTTAGAAAAACAGTGTGCTTAAATAAGTTTGTTTATGATAATTTATTTACGAAAAATGAAACATTTTTTAAACCAACGTTTATATTCGTTGGTCCTAATGGTACGATATGCAACCAGCCTAACTCAGACTGTCATTTTAAAGAGTTAAAATTTATATTATATATTAACTTATGATAAATCATATTAAAAGGTTTTTATTTTTTATTAATATAATTAATAAATTTGAATCGTATAATTTATAAAATAAAATTCTCTTGACATTGTAATAAAAATTTTTTTAAAGATATATCGTTATGATTGATGTAAAATACTTAACTTTCATTCATATATTTTTTTAAATTATATTTTTAATTTATTTGCGGAATATTATAAAACCAAGAACAAAACTTTTAGAATTTGAACGTATTTCAACAGAAATCGAATCGATTGAAAAATTAGAATATGGTTGCTGTCCTGGGTGGACGAATAATTCCAAGAAAAAAAATAAATGCACCAAAGGTATTGTCAACATTATATTATTACACATTTTGGTTAAATGTTGTCTTTAGAACCTGGACTAAGAAGGAATCTATTTCCGGTTATTACAAATTTTAAAAAGGAGTTCTGGTTCATAGATTTGACGTGGTTCTAAAGTTTTCGGGCTCCAAACTGTTAATAATAGTGAAAAAAATTAATTAATATTTAAACATTAAAATGAATCACAGAAAACTTTGATACTCGCAATATGTGTTATTGCCTGATTAATATTTCAGTTAATTCGCATAGTTTTCATATATAAATATATTAATAACTCAAATTTATTATTAAAAATGTCTGAAACTTATTAATATTTCTAAACGGCTCGATTTGTTCCGATTTTTAAAAATTGCCAACTCAGTTAGTTTAGCCCGAAAAATATTACCGAATACTCATAATATATTTTCGGCAAAATCAGATCTTAGAATTTATAATGTGCCAAAATATTTTACTATTTTTCAACCTTTAAATTTGAAAAAGCTGATTTTGGCGAAAGTTTATTCCAACATGTGATACCTGCCCTGTAAATTTTAAACAATTCTATAAGATATTACGCATATTACCTTGTGAACATTACTGGTAACAGGGTCCAACACATTTTCAAAAAAAATGTATTTACACCAAAAAATACATTTGAAAAGTACCCAAAAAATTTTCACAAAAAGTATACAAACACTTTACGAATACTTTATAAAAATATTTGCAGTAATCACAATATTTTTTACTTAAGGATACTTTCTTAACCATTTAAAAATTATTCAAATAATAATTCGCATTAAAAAAATTTGCAGTTACTTTTTTTTATCCAACATATGAAACAATTCCAAATAATTCATTGTGCTTTTACTTTATTAATTTTGGAAGGTATTTTGAAAAGCCTTCCAATGGTTATGGCATGTAGGGGATGTGGATGCTCTTTCAGACCCTCTGCTAAAAATATCTCATATAGATTATAAATCTTATTTATGGGACTAGAACATATATCTTCTAGTTCTATATTATCTTCTTATAAAAAATTAATCTCCATTTGTAATTCAATTTATAATATAATAACCATAAGAATATAAATAAATAATAAATACAAAAAAGTAACTGCATTTAGTATTTTAAATACAAATATTCGCGATATGCCCAACCGTACCCGTAACAAAAATATTAATTAATTGTAATCTTGTTAGAACAGGTTTCCTCAAATTTAAAAATAGTTTAAGTTCTGATAAATATTAAAAAAAGTATTTTAGTTCCGGTTCCTAGATTTGTCCCCGGTTCTGAGGATCTTGGGTTCAGGTTACCATTTCAAAAATAACTGCATATAAAATATATAGCTGTCTGTGAACCGAAATGCAAAAATGGGTATTGCTCCTCACCTGACATATGCAAATGCCACAAAGGTTGGACGAGTACACTATGTGACAAAGGTCAAATTTTAATTAAATATACTCTTTTTTAATAATTATATTTATTTTTGGCTTTTTGATCGTATAAAATTCCGAGATTATGAATATTCTATATTTTTTGCTATTTTATTTCAGTATTGCTATAATTTATTTTGGTTTACTAGTACTCAAAAAAAACACTTTACTCAAATATAAAATATTTCAAATGCGTTAATATTAAGTGTGTGTTGAGCATGCCTTTCTCCCTCCTCAGGGACATCCCTGGTTTATTTTTTTTTAATTTAAATTATATTGTCTATCAAGATATTAATGAATGTCTCCATACCAACATCAGTTGTCAACATCTATGCACTAACACAAAGGGGTCATATAAATGTGAATGCCACTATGGGTTCAAACTCAATCCCGATAAAAAGACATGCCGTTGTAAAGATAAATTTTTAGATATTTAATGAAATTTTTTTTCGATTATCATTTATGATAAAATAACTTCGAATAAAGTAAAGTATTTTTAAGACTTTTATAGCATTCATATAAGAAGAATAATTTAAAGTAATAAAAAAAAATCATGAATTCCTCAAAACCTAACGATAAATATAGAATTAAATAATTATACATATGTTTTATAAAATAAAACAATTGAAGTGTGTATCGAATGCATTCCAGAATTTCAGAAAGTAATTAATGAAACCAGATCGATTTCTCTTAATATTCAAGAATATAGAAATGTAATGTAAAATTTTTAACATAATAATTAAAAAATGTATGTGCCTTCCCAATTGTGATAACTTTTGTGGAAAATAAGTATTGGGCTGGGAAACCAAAATAAAATATTTTAAAAACAAAATTTTGATTTTTTTCTAAAATTAAATTGAAATACCAAAATAATCTTATATATTAAGAAGCAGAGTTGTTAAAGGATCTAGATACTTGTATCTAGATCCTGTATCTAGATATAAAAATGTGGTATCTGTATCTGTATCTAGATAGATTTTCGATTAAAATATCTGTATCTAGATATTATTTTAGACGATGTATCTGTATCTAGATCCATTTAAAAAGTATCTTTTAACAACTCTGTTAAAAGAAGAAGTTTTGCCAACTTAGTAATTATTTTTAAATTTTCTATGAGTAAAATTTATTTTTAAATCCTCGATGAATAAAATCTTTTTAAATTCATTTGCATTTAAAATTTAATTTAACTTCAATTACCAATTAGTTATTAATTCAGAAATAAGATTCAAAAATAAAATAAAAACAGTGTAGAATAATTCAAAATCAAAAAAATGATATGATTTTTATAATACAAATTCTAAAAAATTATATGATTTTTCAAAACCAAAAAATGATATGATTTTTGAAATTCAAAATTAAAAAAATGATATTATTTCTAAAAATCAAATATAAAAAGGCCGTTTTAATTTTTTATTTTCCCAGCCCTATCATTTATTGTATTTTATTAGAACCCTGTAAATTAAATATTTTTAAACGCGAGCCCAGCCAAAAATTTACTTTTTATTCCAGTCCTGTTAATTATCCTTTTATTTAAAGAAGGAAAAAAAAATATTCTATATTATTTTTATATTTTCTAAGCCAGAGCCCGGCTTGATTTTTTTTAAAAAATATAAAGTCCAGCCGAGTTTTCTTAAATTTTAAGTCCGAGCTCTGTTCAGACCGATTTTAAAAAAAGTAGGGTCAAGATTTGAACCGACTTTGAGGGTTATATCCTTTATCACAACCATTTTGATATGTTAATTAAACCAACATTCTAATAAAAAATATTATTTTTAAAAAAATTTATTATTAGGAATTGGATCAAAAAAGATTCAACATATCTAATATCATAGATGATGTAAGAACTGCGCTCATTAAACCCAGTAAAGACCTTGATTCTAAGATGAAAAACATGTTTATTACCGATAACCAAGATTATTCCGATTACTATGATATCAATTTTTTGGAAAACACTCCAAAATACAACTCAAAAAATATAAATGCTACAATTTTTCCTAAACGGCGACATGATATGACTAGTGATCGAATGTTGATTATGGTAGATTACGATAAATTAGCTTACGCTATGGATCGGTTAGAGTTTTTGAGCAAACAATTAGCAAATGTTGAAGAACAATTAGGAATGTGTAAATGCATCAACTAAGCATTAACATTTTTTTTTTTAATTTTCATATGAAAATAATAGTAAATCATTATAAAATAATGAAATCAGAGAATATTGGATGTTTTTAATAATACAATTTAATGATCATTGCTATGATATAATTATAATTAGTATTTACAGTTCATTGTATATTAAAATGTATGTATAATTTTTTTTTGCTTATTTCGCCAGAAATATTTTAAATTCACTCGCCCATTGTTTTAAAAATATTTTTTAACCGGCCAGCTTAATTTTTTTTTAGCCCACCTCCTCGTAGATTAGGTGGGGGTGACCTGCTGGGCTAAAACCTTGCATACTGCAGACCTCTACTCGGAATTAATGCATATTCGCACTTTTATTCCATTTTATGATTGTTATATAGATCTTTTCCAGCCATACAATCCCATAAAATAATGCTTGTTGGGAATTTAAGGGCTATAATAGTTGTTTATGAGTCAAGCTCAAATCTTCTTAGACTAAAAATTATTTCTGCATTCATTTGGATTCATCCTAAGGATAAAGATAGGTGTTCTTTCACTTGAGTCTTTTTGCATATGTTGGCATGTCAAATAATTTATTAGATTATTGTCATTTTTCGATATTAAATATATACTTTATAAAATAAAAACCAATAGAATAAATCTTTCACGTGCAAGTACTAATAAAATGATTTTCGAAAAATGAATTCCACTCGGATGTAATATGGTTGGAACAATGATCTTTAACTTTCATCAATAATTTTTCTAACATCTCAAATCTCTTTGAACTGTAACACATTTCCTATCATTAATATTTCCGAAATTTTTGTCATAGTATCTAATATTTTTTATTTTTTTGATTCAGAATAGTAGGATGATCGGGTTTTATTTAATTAAAATATAGCTTTAAAAAATATCTTAAATATAAAACAATACAATAAGATAGTGATAAACTGAAAATACAACCCCATAATTTATATCTAAAAAATTACACGATATTAGGAGATATTTGTTTTGATTTGCATACAAATTACTAAAATTTAAATATCTTTTAATAATTGCTATAATTTATTATTTGTAGACTTCGTATATAGGGCATGTTAACCTCTATAAGATTTGTAAATTACGACTTTATCATCTATTTATTCTCTAAACACAGCATTTTAGATATAATGGTTATGAACCTAAAATATATGGCGATCGATTTAGGGTAGTATAAATAAAATTTTAAAGATGTGTACAAAATTTTAAATTATTAGGATAAAAATATTTTGCCAAAAAAAAAATTAATTATTTTTATAATTTATGGATAAAAGGGGGTATTTGGCAAAATATATCAAACCTGAATCATTTACCAAAATACACAGGTAAGAAATTATAAGTGAAAATACATCTTGGCACTAAATTTAAGATATTTATTCTCAATAGTTAAAAATTAGTCGCTTTAACAGTATTATCCTATCAGTCCCTTTCATTGCTCTAAATATATCTAGCTCCACATTATTTTCATATCTAAATACTCATTTCTGCCGTTTTTGGACCAAATTATTCATCTTAAAGCCTAATTTCTTTTCCTATTGCAATGTTGTTAGAAATAATTTATTCTTCGGCTTTCTAAAATAGTATGATTTAAATAAAATTTCAAATGATTTTTTTAATCTTATAGATAAAATATCCCAGTAAATGTAATTTCGTTGACAAGTTGGTATAAAAAATTTTCCAATTACAGAAATTCATTCAGATAATATTTTGGGAAAAGAGGCATGTCGATTTTTAGAATTATTTCTGATAAAATGCTGTCCTTTTTTATTCTTTATGCTCTTGTATTAAGCACAATGATATATATTCACTAATAGTAGACTAACAAATGCTTAATTAATTTACTATCTTTCTGCTATGTCAATGAAGCGGGGTACATTAACAATCCCCCGTAGTTTTTTTATTCATATTATTCCACTAAATTATTAATTTGGTTAAAATTTTATTATGGTTATAATATATATGTTGTATTCCATATTAAAACAACCAACCAAAAAAAATCGATACCCCCTTCAATTTTTTTAAAAATTTGTATGTTGGTAGTATATACACTAACTAATAAAAATGTAAAATTTTACTTTTCAAATCGGCTTACTTCATGAGATATGGCCATCTTTAGAAACGCGAAAATTCCAAAATACAGTATATTTAATTTTAAATATCTCAAAAAGTAAATAAGCTGAAGGCATGATTTAAATTTTATTAAATAGCTCTCCCTTTAATATGATATAAAAATTATTTTATTAATAAAAAGTCTATTACCAAAAACCGGAAATAGCTATAAAATAAAAATTGCTCTTTTTTTTCAAATTTTTTTTACAAATAGACATTATACTTCTTAATATTTGTACAAAATTTTAGATTGGGACCATTACTGGGCCAATAGTTATTACGCTTTAAATATAAATAGTATGGCTTAAATCCTAAATTATACCAAATATATAGTAATTTACGAAACAAATAAAAAGAAAATTCCTTTATGATCGGGCAGATTATATTTTTTTTATAAATGTTTCGGGGGCTGTGAGCCCACTAGTAGACATTATGTCATATTTAACATATAAGTTTAGCAATTTTATTTTAGAGAGAAAATAATTGTAAAAATATTTATAACTTTATTTAGCTAATTATTTATATTACATGAATATCAAATGGAAAATTAATATTGTTATAAACATATTAAATTAAATAATATCATACATTAAATTATCTAATGAATTAGAATAACGTTTGACTTTCATTTTTTCCATTAACTTTCATTGATATAAAATTATTCATACCTGGCATAAGTCTGCTGTTTTCATCAGAATTATAAAATTCTATTACTTTATTTGCAATGTCATCCGGAATTATTCTACTTGGTTTTATGATATTTGTGTTTGACAAAACACCCTTTTCTTCAACTAATTGTTTAGCTGTCCGGGCCATAAAATTTGTGGTTGAAAATTCCTTTTCAATTTTATCAAGAGTCCAAGATCTTGGTAAAACTGTTAAAATTTGTATTTTTTCATTGCGAGAACTTGTAGCAAATTTTTCTTTCCAGTTGATTTATGATTTCAACTTCATCTTTTTTTGCTTGATCCTCTAGATTTATTTTTTAAAACTTTTTTAATTTTTCCCTAAATTTTCAAAAATTTATTTACAGGATATTTTTTTTTCATTTAACCTTTTCTTTTTAAAAGGTGTCTCCCCTAAAAATGGCAAAGTTTCATTTAAAGTTGAAATTGAAGTATTAAAATCTGTATAAGAGTCGGGATTATTGCATGGTTGATCAGGTTCAGAATCGATAAATGTTTCATTAATAGATGAGGTAGAAGGTAAGTTAGAAATAGAAGGTAATGTGATCGGGATCGTACAAGTAAAAGGTGAGATCAGATTTGTTGAATATTTTTTTAATTTTTTCCTGCAAGAGCTACAAATTTTTTGAAACTGATAAGCTAGAATAAACTTCTATCATCCATTGTAAAACATTTCTAAGATCGTAACGTACTGAATGAGATTTTATTCTAAAGGGATTACAGCACTTTACTGGAATAGAAACATCTTTTCTAGACATTTAAATTTTTTTTGGTAAGGAATAAAAGATAGCTATTAATTTTATATAATTATTTTAAATTAAAAATAAATTGCATATTGAATACCGATAATTTAATTTTCTTAGAAAAATGGCTTTATAAAATTAATCAATATAAATGACGGCTGTTGCTGTTGGAATTGAATTTGATTTTTATGATAATTATTTTATTTGATAAAATTATAAGTAGAAAATAATCTTTATGAAAATATATTTCTGACTATCACATAGATAATTTTTTATCCGGCAAAGAAAATAATCTACATAATTCACTCATAGAATTGCCAGGTCAAAAATCTCGAATTTAAGAAGAAATTTTTTTGGGGGGGGCGGGGGGGGGCGAATATAAATCTTAAGATGGGGTTCGGATTTCCGTTTTAATACTATTATTCACAAATATTATCACTTTTGTTAAAAAAATAATTACTCATTTCGTATAATATAGAATTTAAGCCATACTATTTATATTTAAAGCGTAATAACTATTGGCCCAGTAATGGTCCCAATCTAGGATTTTGTACAAATATTAAGATATATAATGTCTATTTGTTATAAAATTTTGAAAGAAAAAAAAAGGGCAATTTTTATTTTATAACCATTTCCGGTTTTTGGTAATAAAATTATTTTTAGTATAATAAATTTTATATCATATTAAAGGGCTATTCTAGAGTTATTTAATAAAGTTTAAATTATACCTTTAGCTTAATTACTTTTTGAGATATTTAAAGTTAAATATGGTGTATTTTAAACTTTTGGCGTTTCTAAAGATGGCCATATCTCATGAAGTAAGTTGAGTTGAGAATTAAAATTTTATATTATTGCTAGTTAGTGTATATACTACCATCATGCAAATTTTAAAAAAAATCGAAGAGGGTCGGGTTGAATCTTCAGTTGATTTGATATGGAATACAACATATATATAATTATAGGCTTCGGCAAGCTTCTGTGATCTAATGGGTGTATGTGTATATCCTCACGTCACCGTATAATACTGGACTGGGTTCAAATCCAGCAAGTTTTTTTTCTGAAACTAAACTACGGGATATAAAGGCGATCGCATAATTTCACCTATTATATATTTAAAATGGGTCTTATAGTATTTAAAGAAAATTTGGTCGTTGTTTAGTAAATTGCTATATATTCACGTAGCACCATTTAACATTAATCAAAATAATAATAGTGCATGAATGTATACAAATTGAAATTATGGAGTATTGCTAAATTCAAGCGGGGTAGGTGTTAAAGAAGAAAGATTATATTTTAATAAAGATAATCGAATCAAAACTAAAAGCTAAACTTTTTGAAAACCAAAACAAAAGATGTAATTTTTTTAGTTTCCAACCCCTATATGCTATATTAGGTAAGTTTTTGTTAACCAGTTATAAAAAAAATTTTTTTTATTAAGGAGTATAAGTGTTCAAATTATTTTTATAATTTTAACGTTATAAACTTTTTAAACCAAATTGATCCGTTTTGGATATTTTACTTCGTAATTTACAGCATAGCTGAATTAAATTTCTAATTCTTTCATAATAAGTTTTACGCTAAAAATATTTTTGTTTCTCTATATTTATTAAATCTTTATTCCCTATTAATTAGTATACAGAGCTTGTTTAATAAATCTAATGAAAGCGTGCATTTGAATGTGAATTTAGGAAAAAATATTGTTAAAATAAACTGAATTCTATAAATAATTACTTATCATATAAGATTTTCCGGTTAAGATAAAAAATAAATAAGAAGTTCCAGTCAAAATCTGGCTGTGAATATAATCGACTGATTTAGCCAAAGGTGAAAGTTGGCAGATTAGAGATTGGTGAAAAATGGACAAATAGAATTAAAAAGAAAATATATTCATTTAATTCTATTATATATAATCAATATTTAATATATCTAATAATAATAAATAGAGGAAATCAATTAATTAATTCATAAGCTAGTAAACAACAATAATACAAAATAAAATACATAAATTCATTTGGTTTTATTGAATTCTTGGGGATATTCTTTCAAATAATCATCAGGATATGTCCTTCCTTTATAAATTTCTGGTTTTTCCCTTGTAGGTTTATGAATGTGAGGACGACACATATATCCTGGCTCGAAACGCAAGAGTCCCAATTTGTTATACATGCAATAGTCAAACGACAATTCTTCTTTTTTACATCTAATTAATTTAATTTTAAATTAAAAAGGTATAGAATTTGTATATGAATATTTTATAAGTGAAAATCTTTTTTCGAAAAACTTTAATATATTTTATTAACAATATTTTCTGATATTCTTTTATGTAACACCTTAATATTAGATTCAAACGATAAAAATTTTATATAGTATAATGCAATGAAAATAAAAAATTATAATTATTTCGCATTTTTATCAGAGATGCACTGATACCGAGTAACGGACTCACAATGACTGGTATGTCTATTAGAGATCTGTAACTCGGCTTCTATTTTTTAAAATATTTGGTTCGAACTGGGCATAGTCTAATATTAAAAAAATTGGCCTGAGTTTAAATTTTGAAATAAAATTGATATATTTTAACATTATGTAAGAAACAAGGAGCCAATATATTTTATTTGTTAGTGGAATGATGAAAAATTTTTTATTAATTTCTATATTTAAATAAATTTGAGCCGGGTCGATAGAAATCCCGGAAAAAAACTAATGAAAACCACTAAGAAGAAAACCCCTGAAAAAACTGCATTTTTATCATATAATAATGAACATATTGTTTGGATTATAATTTTATATGCGTTATAATGGATACACTCATCTTATAAAGGTATGTAAAGAAAAATATATAATTTAGTATTTTATTATAATATTACAAATAAAATATTTAAGTCAAAAAAATAATATTAAAAAATTATTATTAGTAAGTTAAATTTTTTTTAATGAATCTATTTCATCCCGGAAAAGTGATATTTGAAGCAGACCTTCATGGGCCTCAATTTTTTGACCAAACAGGATCCAGGCCTGCAGTAAAAAAATTATTTTTAGGCCTAAGCCCGGCCCATATTGAATATTTAAAAAAAATTCCAAGCCCGGAAATCCATATTCAAAAATTTAATTAAATATATTTAATAAAAAATAAACAATATTTAAGTGAATTTAGACAATTATTTTGTTTACATTACCAAAATATATTATTATTAGAAAGAAAAAATGGCAATATTTCTTTACATAAACAAATGTTTTATATAAGCTAAATTTAAATTTTATAATTTCAGGCCCAAGCCCAGCCCAATAATGGTCTCTGATTTGAAGATTGCTCATATATCCTCTATAAAAAATGGCGCAAGATAAGATGCCAATGCTCAAAGTATATCTTTTAAACGTCGAGAAATAATATTTAAATAAAGATCTAGTAATTGAAAAATATCCATCGAATATTGATGGACTAGCAGATATGAAACCCGTTTCTAATGAAGTAACGATGGAATCCCCGTAAACTAGGAATCCCTAAGAATCCAGAATCCCCTATTAAACAAGCACATATTATATAAAAATAATATAGATTATTGTTTAGCTCTTCAATATGATTTAAAAATGGTAGATTAGTAAAAGAAACAAATAACATTTTTTTTGCATGATTAAATAAGAATCCCTAAGAATCCTCATTAATTTTAGACTAATATAAAAAAAAATTAATAGATTCAAGTTTATCTCTACAATGTGATTCAGAAAATGTAAAAATTAATTTTTTTTAATAGTAGGATATTAAAAAACTTTTTTTGACTAAAATAAGAATCTCTACCCCCTTAAAAAAGCCCCAAATTTAAAAAATAAAATATGAAATCATGTATAATTCTTCAAGAGGAGTCAGAAAATGTTAATATTCAATTTATTTTTTTGACTAAACTAAGAATCCCTAAATAACCTCATATGAATCCATAAGAATCTTTATAAAGATAGATACAAGTTCATCTCTTTAACGGATTCAGAAAATATAATTAATTAAAAAATTATTAAATAGTGGGATATTGCTATATATTTTTGACTAAAATAGGAAACTCTAGGAATCTGCTATTAAAAAGCCTCAAATTTAAAAAATTAAATATAGAATCATGTATAACTCTGTAAGAGGATTCATAAAATGTTAATATTTTTTAAATATTAAAAATATTTTTTTTTTTACTAAACTAAGAATCACGATATGAATCCCTAAGAATCCTCGTTAATTATGGACTATTATAAAAAATAATAGATTCAAGTTTATCTCTTCAACGGGATTCAGAAAGTGTAAAAACTATTTTTAAAATAATGGGATATTGAAAAAACACTTCTTTTTTTTATTAAATTAAGAATCCCTAAGAATATTCTATTAACAAGCCTCAAATTTAAAACATAAAATATAGAATCATGTATAATTAATTCTTCAAGGGGAAGAACATATTAATATTATTAATAAATATAGAAACATGTATAAGTTTTTAAGGGGATTCAGAAAATGTATTTTAAAATATTGGTAAAGTAATAAATAAAAAAACCAATTTTTTAATGACTAAACTAAGAATCCTCTAGAAAGGCTTAAATTCAAATACATAAATGTAGAATCATGTATAACTCTCTTCAAGAGGATTCAGAAAATGTTAATAATCATATTTTTTTTAATTTAAAAATACAAAAAAAAAAAATTTTTTTGACTAAACTAAAAAAAAAATTGAAGGTTGATGAAGTGATAGTTAAAAGATCTGTACGATCTGTAATTACCCATTGCTTGTAGGTAATATATTCGATGTCACTTAAATATGTATTTCACATATCATGGCCTTTAAATTAGAAGATCCAGGGCATTGAGCACAATCACCAAAAAAGCATTTTGGGCTCAAATTTAAAAAAATAAATAGAATCAAGTATAACTCCTCAAAAGGATTCAAAAGGTGTTAATATTTATATTCTTTAAAAAAAAAATTAAAATAGCGAAAAAATTAAATTTTTTTTGATTAACCTAAGAATCCCCTATAAATTTTCTTACTTTCTTTCGTACTTTATTTCTCTCTCTTTCATTACCTTACAAATTTTAGTTATGAGATCAGAATGTCCCAGCCCGAAACCTTAAAATTTTAAGTGGGGCAACTAGTGCAAAATATTTTACCGCGCCCGGAATTTCAAAATATTTTAAAATTATAACTAAACAAATATATCCTTTTTTATCATAAGAAATTATTACGAGCTGGGTAATGCAAAAGAGTATACGCGCATATTTTTTCCGAGAGCTCTTACAACTATTTTAGCCGGTTTTTACTTCTCAAGGTCATTTTTAAAATTATTTTATTACATAATTTATGTAGATTTGAAGAGGATGAGGTATCCCAAATTGAAATGCCCCAAATACATTTCTGATCTATTAGCCGATACTTTTGCCATATTATAATATTTTTTTTGCTAAAATTTTATTTTTGGCATTCAATGTAAATTTTGAAATTCTATTCCCTTAATTAGTTGAGGAGTGTTGATCCAAAATTTAACTAGGTTCAGGAGCTGTATGTATTTTTAATACTCATCCCCGCATAAATTTATATCCTCTTGAATTAAGGATGTACTGGTAATGTTTTATCAGATCAGATCGGGCCAATATTTCACCCATTTTAAAATTTCGGTTATCTGCCAATATTATAAAATTCGATCCGATCCGATAAAAAATGGCGTTTTTGAGAAAAATAAAATGTCATAAAATTTTTTTAAAAAAGTAAAAAGTTATAACTAAAAAACCATTTATTTTTATAAATAAAATCGAAATCCATTTTTATGTTTATTTTTTTTAATATAATTAATAAACATTCTGAACAAAAGTAATCTGGCTTTATTACCAATTCAACGCTTCACTAAAGAAATTAGTGGAGAAAATGCATCCACTAAGGTAGTAATTCCTTGTAGAATTACTAAAAAAAAGAGCTTGCTAATCATGGTGAGTATGATAAAGGTGTCCAAACTATGGATGCTACGCATAAAGATCTTACTAAACATTTTCCCTATATTTATAATGATTAAAATATACTTCATAACAAAAATTTTGAATCCCCGATTTAAAACAATCTTTTTTTCAATTCAATCAAACTTTAGAGATAAAAACTACTTCTAGAATGCTTTGAATCACCGTGAGAAAATAAATTCCAGCCTAGGTAAAGAATTAAATCTATTTAATAAAAAAAATTTTTTAATTTTATTTAAACAATTTAGAAAAAGATAATCAAATATGAAGATAGAATAAATTCCATCAACATCCGAGATTCAACTGGCATATTTAGTTTGTGGGGATCTTATGCTGATACTGTTAAAGCTAACGAGGAGTCTAATAACACTACCACTGAAAATTGTCCTTATTGAGATTGAAAACTATTCGAATGAACCAGTATTCAAAGATCCATTGAAATATTGGCTCTTAAACTTAATCGCCAATATCTAGCAACACCTGCCACAATTATCTCTTCAGAATCTGTTTTTAATAGTGATATTGACAGTCCTCATAGCCGGTGGCTAATAAATTGGAAATTTTGGTATTTCTTAAAAGATATCTTCGATATATTAATTTTAAATATTTATTTCAAATTTCATAATATATTTGTTTATTACATATTACGTAAATAGATTAATGATATTACTCATTATACTTTTAAATTGCAATTGAATTTAATATAAGCTATATAACTGACATATAAAAATTATATTAAAACTATCAATTTAATATCGTGAATATCTAATCAGATCGGCCTCCAAAAAGTGGTATCGTTACACCCCTAATTAATATGACTATTTTTAATAAATTTTTAGATTTTAGCGCTTAAAAATGTAGACCAGATAAATAATTATAGCTATTGATCCTGACTCCTTATTTAATATGTAAAACATAATTCTATTTAAAAAAATAAAAAAAATAATTAATAATATCTCTAACGATATTCCGCATAGATTAAATGACAGGTCATGTAATTAAAAATAATTTCCTTGAGTTGGACCATAGTCGTTTCCGGGGATGCGTATTTTATTCACGCCCAAAAATAGTGATTTTTGATAAAAATAAATGTTTTTTTTTCAATATTTTACTAATTTTATTTTAAAAATTTAAAATATAATTTTGTAAATTATATTGAAGAGCTAAACACGAATCTATAATAATTATATTTAAAAAACTCCTCTTTAATAGGTGGGGGGGGGGGGGGGATTCTTAATTTAGTAAATTTTGAAATTTTTTAAAACTATTACCAGTTTTAATTTAAAATTAAAAACCATATTTTTAGAATCATATTTAAGATAAACGAATAATTTTATTTAAAAAACGTGCTTGTAATAGGGGATTCTTAATTTAGTCAAAATAACTTAATCTTTTGGATATTTTAGGAATTTTTTAAATAGGTTAATATTAACATTTTGTGAATCCTCCTAAAGAGTTATAATCTACATTTATTTTTTTTAAATTAGGTTTAGTAAAAAAAAAATTCGATATTTTAAACTATAAAAAATAAAAAATATTATTGTCTGAATGCTCTTGAGAGTTAGGTAGCATTCATGATTATTTATCATAAATAAAATTAATATTAATAAAATAAATTGATCTCATAAGCAGATTTTAAAAATTGATCAGTTGTGAAATTGTGCCAGATTGGACACCACTATGAATGCAGCCTTAATACATGATTCTATATTTTATTTTTCAAATTTGAGGCTTTTTAATATAGTATTCTTATTTTAGTCAAAAAAAAAAGAAGTTTTTTTTCAATTCCCACTATTTTAAAAATAACTTTTTTAATAAATCTTTACATTTTCTGAGTCATAGTAAAGAGATAAACTTAATCTATTCTTATTTTTTTTATAATAAACCATAATTCGTGAGGAATCTTAGGGATTCATACTCTTAGTTTAGACAAAAAAATAAATTATCAAAAAAATATATTAATATTAACATTTTCTGAATCCTCTTGAAGAGTTATATGTGATTCTATATTTTATTTTTTAGCTTTTTAATAGGGGATTCTTATTTTAGTCAAAAAAAGTGTTCTTCAATATCCCACTATTTTAAAACTAATTTTTTTAAATTAATTTTTACATTTTCAGAATCACATTGAAGAGATAAACTTGATTTTTTTTTTATAATAGTCCATAATTAGTTAGGATTCTTATTTAGTCATGCAAAAAAAAACATTTTCTAAATCATATTGAAAAGCTAAACATTATTCTATATTAATTTTATATTCTGAAAATTTTTTTTTTAAAAAAAAAACCTCGTGAGCTTGCTTAACTTGAACATACAGGTCTTTCACTTCTTAATAACTTATCTCCAGATGGGCACTGGGACTCCCTGGCTAAATTAATCATAAATTAATAATAAAATTGATTTTTAGGTATTGGCCTATACCATGTTAATATCAATATCAGCCAAATAATAAAGTGGTGAAGTATCTTCTGTTCAATAGTTTTATCATTTTTTTATTAAATAATTCATTATCAAATATAATCCATTCTGATACTTTAATTTAGAATTATAGCTTTCAATGAATTAAAAATTAACGTTTGAATTAGACAAAATATGGTTACAATAATTAAATATTTACCCTGTGAAATCTTTTCGAGAACTTTTCCAATCAATACATTTATATAACTTTTTGAATTGATTTGGGCATGATTCTTTAACTTTATCAAAGTACTCTAATGCACATAAGCTTAAAATTTTTCCTTCTTTAAGACATTTCCTTGGATCTCTTTCTTCCTTTCTACAGAGCCAAAATTCCTATAAAATAGCAAATATTGCATTGCATTGCATGATAAACTAATAACATTATTTTGAGCATAACAATATTTTGCGAAATGTCGCGCCCCAGCATATAAGGGTACAGATGTTAATTTTAGTTCTGGGCAATATAATTCCTCGTCAGATGGTAATTGTGATGAATCAGTTACAACTCCTTGAATTCCTGACATCAATTTAAACTTAATTAGAATATATTCTTATTATTGATTGAGTCGCCATATGATCAAGATTAACATATAAGCAATCAAGTGACTTATTGATTAATCACTATTAACTTTTACAATTTATAAATATGTTTCTAAGAGTCATTATCCTTAAAAATGTGAAACAAAGTGTTGAAAAGGTAGATATGATTAGTTAATAACTCCCTAACTTTATAAAACAAAGCTGTCAGTAATCAATCATTGATTGAATAGTTTGAGCTTCAGATAATCTTCTAATAAATATGCTGCTTTAAATGAAGTTCATCATATATTTTTTTGTTATATGTGGTATATTTGTTGGTTATAGCTACTTTAATCTTATATTAATTTTAGGTCCTGTAAAATTAGAGAAATTTTACTTAAAATATCTTGAAAATTATCACTCTGTTATATTAAGCCACTACAAAGTTCCAATAGACTCCCAAATACTATCTTTTCGTTTTATTCCTTATTCTGAAACAAATAATTGTCCTACCAAAGATGTCAATATGTATGTATATTTTTTAAACTGTGAATTGATGTATTTTTATCTAAAGCTTTATACAATATAAAAAATATCCTACTATATGGAATAACTATTCTGCCCATAATTTTTGGTATCAAAATTATCAGAAATATTTTTTAAAAACTACTGCCTCATACGATAATTACAACGCATATTCTTTAAATATTCAAAATCCTTTAGTAGGTGTATGGTTTATTGCAGCTTTTTTATCACCAGAAACAATTATGATAAAACAGAAAGTTGCATTAACCTTATCTTTATTGCTAAATCACTTTATATAGGGATTATCTACTAATTGTAGATATGCTTTAAATATATCGCATGCCTGGAATGTCATTAATGTTGTGGAATTGATACCAAATATTATAAATAAACACCAGTTTTTCCCAGATAAAGTCAATTATTTTAAGTATTTATACAATTTCTGTTAATATATTTCTATTCAAAACAGATTTTATGCCCCCAAAATTTCATGGAGATTTCAAATAAATATTACCTTTTTCCCTCAAATTTTAAAAAATGCCAAGGAAATATATTTTTCAATGTCAAAAATATCTTTAATTATAGCTGATCAACCATTTCTAAACTTGCACAATGATCAGAATTTAAATTTTTCAACATTAGAACCATATTCCTGTTCTTATAATGAGACAGACATTTATAGAACTTGCATTTATACTGTTCATTTAACTATTTTTTACAAAATCTTTATAAAATGCTTTAGAAATATTATCCAAAGTCAGATGTTTATTATTATATACTTTTGGTAGTACCAAATGACTTAAATGCCTCAACTCAGTTTTCTTTTACTTTTCAAACTTTAGTAATCATTGAAAGTAATTTTAAAAAAAATATGAACATTTATATATCTTTTAATTATAGCTTGCCTTAATAAAAATGTGAGTGAAAAGGATAAGAATAGCAAAAATGATATAAGAACTATCATAAATAAATATAAGATGCCCAAACAAATAGAAATATGTCAAGCTATCGTATTACCTTTGGTAAATATTTATTTCATTTTAAACAATATGGTATAGAGTAAAATATCTCTTGGGACAAATATATTAATCAAACATGCATTTATTTTATAATTAAACATCTATTTTCCTGTGGAATTTATAAACAAACAATTGTAAATTATTGAAGCAAACATAAAAAATTAGATTTAATTCTATTTAATTTATCATTCCAACCCTATTTACTTATATTTCCTTTTTAACATGGATGTATTAATAATGTACATGGTGTTGGTCAGTCAGTATTGGTGTTGATCAGTTAAATTTTATTCATTACCTGGGCCAATACATAAATAATAATAAAATTAATCCTCATATTTTTTTTAACCCATTGGTTAGGCCTACACAATATAAATGGAATGATTTCAGTACATATATTTGATTGTAATTTTTCCAAATAAATTATTTTATTATTTATATTTGTACAAATTAGGGATGTACCGATATTTTTTATCAAAACGGATCAGGCCCATATTTCACCCTTTTTGAAATATAAGTTATCTCCCACTATTATAATCCGATATGATATAAAATGACGTCTTTAACAAAAATAAAATGTTATAAAATTTTAAAAAAAGTTATATCTAAAATCATTTATTTTTATAAATAAAATCGAAATCCAATTTTATGTATATTTTTTTAATAATAATTAATTAATAAATATTCTGCCATATTGTTATTTTTTTTTGCGCATTCTGTTTATAAAAGTGTGGGATAATCTCTTCAAAATCTGTTTTAATTAAATTGGTGATATTGAAAGTTACCATCTCCACATGCTGACCTCAGATAAATTGGAAATTTTGGTAATTCTAAAAAGAAATCTTTGATATATTATTTTTTTTTCAAATTTCATAATATATTTGTTTATTAATTATTATGTATATAGATTAATGTTATTACTTATTATTAGACCTCGGCTCACGCCTACGCCGCCGGTAATTTTATTCACGCCGGAAAAGCCGCCGATTGAGATTAGCAACGCAAGCCAGCTCGCCGCCGATTTTTTTTATGGCGGCAGCGCGGCGTGTATATGTTTAATTATATTTATATATTAAATGTTATTTTGAATATTAAATTGTTATTATTTAAATTTGAATTTAATAAAATGAAAATATGAATTGTAATCTATATCTATATATAATAGAATAGAATAGTGTATATCATTTACATTCATTCCTACATCATATTTCATTTCCACAAACAATACATATATTTTTATGGACTTGCATGTTTTAAACTACCCTATATTCAATTATGAAATAACAACTCTCTCTACTAATCATAAATCAAGTTATGTCTGGAGGTATTTTGGAAATCTTATTTTGTAGAATGAAATAAGAAAAGCACAATAATGCCTGATTATAATTATTGTGAACCTAGCTTAAAATTGGGGAAACAATGATGAGGAAAATTCGAATAAACACAATCCATTTTCACAGTAATTTATTTTAATTTTAGACTTATATTTATATATAATTTATTTTACTTATGAAATAAAAATTTTTAGTAAAAATATAAGTACAAGTAACCTTTCTCGGCACTCAGTAAATGTTAATAAAATATCAGAAAAATTAATAATAATAAATCCAATTAAAAGTCTAAAAATGTTTTTAAACCCAACACCAAGATGTAGCAACAATATAAAAGATAAAAAATGGCTCTTAGGTTAGTATTAAATATATAACTGGTTTATTAAATTACATTTATTAAGCTTTATTTTGAAACAGATTTCAAAATCTAAAAATTGTTTCAGAATATTTAAATTCGAATTCTACAACATTATTGCAATTTTCAATTAAACATTTAAAACTTTTAGAGCATAGAAATGCAAAGAGTTAGATTTAAGTTGAAGATAATGGGCAAACATCCAGTTTTTATATAGATAAAATAGCTCGTAAACATTCCCTTCCAAGCAACTATTATAACACATTAGTAATCTAGAACAAGAATGTCATATTTTTCTCAGCCAACATAATATCCCAGAAGAGGATGCATTAACCTTTTGGAAGAAAAAGCGACTGGAACTTCATAGGATTGCTAATTTAGCTAGGACGATTCTGTATATATCTGCAACCACTACACCTAGCGAAAGTATTTTTTTCATTACTGGATTAATTGCAAAAAGGACTTCTTTACGAATCTTGATAAAGTACTATTTATTCATGACAATTATAATTTTGATAAATCTGAATTCTGATTTATTATATTTCATACTTTATATTTTGCTTGCAACAAAATTATATTTTAATTTGTTATAATAAAAATCAATAGAATATTACAAATATATCGCGCAGCCGCCACCGACAATTTAGTAGGCGGCGGCGAAATCAGCGCGCCGCCGAACGCTGATGAAAAAATTAAATGCCGCGGCCGTCGATTGAGACATCGGCGCACAGGTCTACTTATTATATAAAAGTGATTTAACAATAAAAATATTTTATATGCTTTTAGAATTGCAATTGAATTGAATTGAATATAAACTATAACTGATCATTGTAATATATTTAATGACATAAGTTATAGTATAGTTAAATTATAGATGTTATATTAATAAAAAGTATACTAAAAACCCATTGGTATCTTTACAGAATACAAAATTAGATATGATATCGGGTCGGTAATTGGCCGATATCAATTTAATATCTCGAATATCGAACCATTATTCGAATATTTAAAAATAAAGTTTTCAAAAGTCAAAAAACTATTATTTAATATTTTTAAATGATAATTTGATTTGGAAAATTAAAATAAATAAAGTTACACATGTGTAATAATGCGAATAAGTTTTGAATAATTGAATTTAATAATAAAAAGACTATTACACAAATAATATAATTCTCATTATTTGAATAGAAAATACAGATAACCAATAATTGGTTTTAGGCCTAGCCAACATTGAGTCTACCTTTTTCCCAATAAATTACACATGTTAAATATACTAATTGATATCAGTATTAGTTATATCTGTATCAGTTAAATAGAAAATGGTATCGATGCATTTCTTCTCCTTAATTATAGATTATAAAACTAAATATATATTCCTTTTGGACATTTAAATTTTTAAAAGATTGTACTTTAAAATATGTACAGTATATATTTCATATGATTTGGTAAATAAGAGGGGAGGGGGGGGGGGGGGGTAAATTATGTGAAAGCATACATTGTTATTACTTTAAAAAATTGATCGAGGCTTATGTCTTGAACTTGTGAGCCGATAACAAAATCAGTTATGTCAAACGATTAATTTTTACCATGGCACTCAACAGTAGATTTAGTTAGTATTTAAAAATAATTAAATTCGATAATAGGATAGATTTCATCTCCCGCAATATTTTACCGACGGCTTTTACATTCAATGGACATTTTTTCACATCAATACATTTTCCTTGGAACCTAGTCATAGCGCCGATTCTATTTTAATGCCATTTTATTTGGAAGATTATATCGATAACGGGTTAACATTGGTAGTCACGTTGTATCTCGATATTATCCCACGTGTAAGCTAATTATTGTAGAAAAATAAAAAATTTATATATTAATTTTTTAATCTATTTTGTATTAAGTACATTATGTTTTTGAAAAAAATTCATCATGTGGTTGAAAAATTAAACTGTGTGACTTTAAAAAAAACAATCATTTATTTTTTTAGACTTGTATTTTTTACAGTGAGGTTTTATAGAGAATTGGACCGAAAACACTTGATTTATATTGGTTTATCCTGTTTGTGAAAAGGAACAATAGAAAATTCAAATTAAACCTGAGCGAAGCATTGCAAATCATAGAATTTCTGAGGCCCACAATAAAATACGCGAATCGCGGTAAAAAGTTATATAGTTTGTAGGTCTGTGAACCCAAATTAGGGTTTCGTAATTTAAAATTAATTAGTTGGGCATTTTGAGGCTGCAGATCAAGCAGTAACCGATTTATGGACCGCTCATCGAACCTAATGCGGGTTCCGACTCCTTCCAGAAAATTGGCTTCGATTAAGTTCCTGTTATCAAAATTTCTGCTAGATAGAATTTGAAATTCCTGAACCCTATTTTCGAGTTTGCAGCTCTTTTTTTGATCACATGGTGCCCTTTTTCAAAAAAAAAATGTCTTTTTGTAATTTAAAATCACATTGATAATTTTATTGATTTTTTACATAAATCTACGTTTTCTCAGGCAATCGAATGTGTGCATTTGTTAACGAATACATATAGGCTAATAAAGAGTCTAATTTTAAAATGCCATTTTTACCTATAAATAATTACAAATGTGTTCTTTTGACTACAAAGTTTTTATGAAATATTAATTTATTTTCTTTTATAGGTTATTTTGGTATTTTTTTTATTATCTTAAGAATAAATATAAGATATCGGAAATTCCAGCTTTAAAAAAAATGGTCTTAGCTAATAACCTTAAAAGTAGGATAAAAAAATAATTAGCTTGGTTAAAGGAAACAGTTCATTTTAATAAAAATTGATATACTCTATTTTATTTACATAAGAGCGACGATTCTCAAGGCTCTCTCCACACTTCAAACAATAATGAAAAACCTTCCAAAAATCATATATTATTGCTAGCTGCTTGTGTATCCCGCGCTCAAATTCCTAACTTAAATCTTACTACATCCCTTTTTAATAATCATTCCTTACCTTTTGATTTTGAATTGAGTTGTCACGATCTCGATAATACTTTTCCCTTGATAGCTTACCATATTCAAAACCCGTCACTTAATCCATCTTATACCGCGAAAATAAATCTTCCTCAAAGAAGAAACGAACCGGCATTTAATATAAATGAAAATAATCTAAACAATGTTAAAGTGCCTTATCCTATGTCTGGACAATATTTTTTATACGTTCGACCCTTCTGCACATATAATCAAAGAGATGGGCATGACTATAGAATCACCAATTTGTAAGTTAGATTCGCTATCAGAGAGGTATTGATAATCACCATTTTAACCTATACCAATGGCCAATACAATACTCAAAAATTATAGTTAACCTTCATAAATTAAAATATTATTTAGCCTACAAGCTATGATTTTGTTTTATTTCACGTGATTAAAAATATATATTTTAAAAGAATATTAATTTTAAAATTTTTTTTATTAAAATCTATATGTAAAAAACATAAAACTCATTTTAAAAATAGAAGATGTCACCTTAAAGAGAAAAAGAAATTAGATCGGCAGATTTTAAGGGAATTTGCTGGCGGAAATATAATCCCTAATTGGGGTCGCCAGTAATGAGTCTCCTTTTTGTCAAGTACTTTGATGAGATTAAGTGCCTTATTTCCGAACATCCCTAAGCAGGCCCATTGTCAGGAATTTGTAGTTGATGAAGGGGGCAATATATTTAAAAATAATACAAATAGGACTCATAAATTTTTTACTATTTTATTTAAACTTTGTAAATGCAAATAATTCTGAATATAAAAAATATAATATAATACGACGATTTATATTTATAAATTTTAACATGTATAAATTAAAAGCTGAATTTTGGGCTATTTTTTTATGAGCTATTAGAATTAACTTCTGTTTTCGTTTGTCTTTAATCGATTATCTGATACTCGATAAAACCCTCTTTGTAGAATGGGGTTTTACATGAAGCTGTTGATACCCCAATGATAGTGTTGTTAAATGCTATTGGGTCTATTTTATTTGCAATAAAAGTATTTGGGTCGGAGGGAATGTATTAAAACAATACAAGGTTATAATCAACGTTAATAAATCTTTCTAAAAAACGTTCAACAAATAATCAATTTCCCATAATAATTTCCTTTTAAAGAACTCCAATTAGAGTCCTTTTCACAATCAAATTTTAATTTGGTATCAACAAAAAAATCATGAAGATTTTTAGGCGTTTTAATAATTCTTGAATATTTTTCGAGGGCCAGATTAAATTTTGATAAAAAAATTTCAGGCTTGATCTTTGTAGAGTCAAATAAATTTAAACATATTTTATTCTTTAATATATTAATTGTAGAATCAAAACGATTTTTAGTATCTATTATATTAGCATCTACTCACTGTACTTATTTAATTGACACAACAGACCAGTGACTTCAACTGAATCAATAGTGGAAACCTCTGAGAAGAGTTCTATTAGAAATATAATACTCCACCAATAGCTTCAAAATTCTTATAAATGTTATGAAGTATTTCTAAATGACCAGTCATCTCTGGTCTAAAATTCTCTTAAGTGTATGACCTTATATATACAGGATAGTTAAAATGCCTAAAAATATTGTACAATGCGTTTGCTAAATTTAAAAAATAAAAAATTACAGGAATATTTTGATACCAATTATTAACAACAAGATGCAACTTATAATTGAAGCAATGTATATAGGCACCTTTATTTCAACAAGGTCGGTACTTCTCCATTTCTACCAGACATCATTTGCACCATCATACGTCTGGCTTATATTAGATAAACTAATCTTAAAATCATTAAGTTGTTTTACAATGCATTTGTTAATGCTTTCAGCAAATTCTTAATCAATTATTTCTATTAAATTTTCTTGAATTTTTCCATAAAAATATACCGAAAATTAAACTCAAATTTTTGAAGCCTGCTTGCATCCTTTGCCTCTTCAGCCTTTAGACAAAAAAGACATTTCGTTTTTGTTATAATTTGTTAAGATCTATTTTAACACCAGTTCCACTTTAATAGATATAACCATTTTGATTTTGAGGCTATGTTTATTGGGCATTTCTTGATATTATTTTTATAATTTCTCATCTCCTTGCTGGATGTATGAAATTGTATTAAAAAGTCCTGAAGAATTGTACTCGAAAAGGGAGCTCGTGTATGCTTAGAAATTGCATTAAATTGATTTCAAATAATATCTACTACACTTAACTTAATAGTTACCAAAATTATCGATATTTCCTTGCTTCTTTATATTACAATAACATTTTTTACAGGTAAAGCAAATGGCAGCATCAGCTTCATTACTGTATTTCAACCAGTCTAGACTTTATTCCTGTCTTTTGAAACATTTAATTGGAATTAAATTTAAAAAAAATTTAATCGATAAAAAAGATAGAAGATGCTGTTAATTTATTTTTCTGAAGGGCCTTTCCTCGACCTTTAATCCAAATATTACCTCCTCAATAAATCAAAATAGTGATTAATATCAACAATCCACATTTCAACTAAGGTTAGGTTCTGAATGGTTCGAGGTTATCTCTAGCTCCAACCTTGGTTTGCTTCTTTCAAACCAAGAACTTCTGATAGGAATAGGCCTTCTTTTAGACTGTGATATTGTCACATCCTCGTATTGCAAACTGTCAGCCCCTATCTACAGCCTATGCCATCACACTCCATATCATCAAGCAATAAATTCTATTATTGCTAAAACTCTCCGCTCAGTCAATATTCCATCAACCCCTTAACCCGTGAGACTTAATTTATGAGACAACATTAGGCTTGACATAATTACACTCATTCCATAGAGCAGCGCATGGGATTATACATGCGTCTATCTTTTTGAGCCATCCTTTATCTCCAATTCTCTGGTTAGAGCGGAAATTAGAAAAATTAATAAATATATTAACATTCCTAATATCACTTTAATCCTCACTGTTTCTGACGCAATCGGTCTTTTGGATCCCGAGCCCGGGATTTCTTCAAAGCACCCGGCCAAAAGATGCGCTTAATTTCGGGTGATCCTCTGGAAGGTTTTTACACGTCAACGAGTTTTAATCGAAATATGTAGGTCACATAGTATATCAATCCCCTGTGCCATTACCTAGAGGCACCTTTTCATGTTTTTTTGAAAAATAAAAATATATTTCTTTTTTTAAAATATATTTTATTTTGATATAGCTTATATTGTATCTTATTTAATAAATTGTAATCGTTTTTAAATTAAAATGACAAAAAATATAAATTATTATATTGATAAATTATATCTTCTCTTTATTTTCCCCAATATACTCCATTGTTAATCTCTTGGTATCGGCATTGGCTAAAAAAAGAGTGGCATGAGAATATCTCTGACTATCATTTAATATTTTTGATTTAATTCATGTTTTGCTATATACTTATCAGAGACCTGTAGACCTGGGTCGGAACAGGCCGAAAAAAATTATGTGATCTTTAAAATTCGGGCCATTGAATCAATTTAAACTTTTTTTAAAAATTTTATCTAAATAATCAATTTAAGAATCATGGATCTTTTATTCTTTAAATTCCTTTTAAAATAATTGTAGAATATAGTAAATATTATTCAAATAAACGACATTTTAAAAATTTCGGGCCGGGCCTTCAAATGATCAAAAATGAAAATCCAGAGCCTGGTCTAATATTTTGATCTCTCCATATCTCTGATACTTTTCTAACTTTAAAAAAATATTTTTAATATTCATATCACCTTTTTTTAAAAAAATAGTGACGAATGTTTTAATCACACCGAATACAACGCGTTCATAACTTTTAACATTAAACTAGAACCGTGTATTTCTATAGAAGGGGAGAAAAAAATCAATAGTATTGAAAAAGGATCTAATATAACTACCATATTGAAAATGGACCACGCGAAATCATCCGATGAGGTAATTATAAATATTATTTTCTTTTTGAACGGAGTAAAAAAAAATATTAATAAATGTTTATAATAAATTATATTTTTTTATTTAATTTTAAAATAGCGAAAATTTTCGCCTAATATATGTGGAGGGCTTAGAAAAGGAAAATGTCAAATAACAGCTCAACAAAGTTTATTCATAACGGGGTGTCAATGTCTAGCTGGTATATTAAGATTATTTTATCCTTTTCGTAAATTATTTAAACTTATAAATAAGTCTATCCCATCTCAGCTTACATTAATTTTTCAAATTCAATAATAATTATTGATCTCTTTTAAAAAAATTAGAATCATAATTATTTTTAATGATAATTTAAAGGGGAAATATATATAGAATTTGATTTTTATAAATAATAAGGAAAATAAAATTAATTTTCACTTTATGCATGGATATTCGCGCTCACCACGCTATGATCACCAAAATATCCGTTCGTGTTAATTCTTCTAACCTATTTTTTTAAATTAACAATGTCTCCTTTTTTTAAAACGTTTACATTATAATTTTATTAATTTATAGCCTTTTTAAATTTTATTTTCATCAAATAGGTAAAGGTGAGGCGACAAATGTTCACATTGGTGAGATCATTATTAACTCATATAAGAGGGAAAATTATGGAAGATAGAAAATTAAATTAGCCATATGTCCACTATTAGAGATATATACAGAAGTAAAAAAATAAATACCGTGGTTTTTGAGCCTACTCAAAATAAAGGACATATAAAAAGACTAAATTAAAAAATAAGAGGGTACGAAAAATAGTCTTGAAATCGTCATGCCTTTTTAGAAATATACTTTGATTGAATTCCTGCAATTGAGTATCTATATCAAACTACTTACAAAAATTACCTTCAATACTCTATTTGAAATTTAATTTACTGTTATTTCATATAGCTCATCTTTAACAACATTACACAAGAAAAAAGAATTAAATACGTAATTAAACAAAAGTGCAATATGGCACACAATCGGCAATAAATCTAAACTTTATTTCAATTTTGGGAGGGTAAGAACATAAGCAGTAACCTTCTATGATTTCTTATAAAGAGCCGTTAAGTTTCAATATATTATAATAGTTGAGGGTTGCAGGAGAGGCAAAAGGTCTAGTATATGTGTTCTATTTATAAATAATATAATAATTATTGTTAAATATCAATATATCATCAATTAAGTACTGATACCATGAAATTTTATCAAAAAATGAAGAAAATCACCTTCTAGTAAGATGGGCCTCCTTATTAAATCCCTATAAACCTTAAAGTAATCCCTAATTTTAATCCTATTGAAACATTTGAGGTTTACTAAAACGAAGTAGAAATCAGTGGCCTAGAACAGGGTCCTTTAAAGTAAATTAGAGTTTATATGGAAATCGATATCTCAGAATTGTGCCAGAATCTTATTATTTCATTTCCACAAAAAATTGCCCCAGTTATAATGGCAAAGGCAGATGTAACACTGTTTCAATGTAGCTGATCATAAATAATGATATTATAGCATAATAGGGTGATAATTTTGAATAGGATTACATATTTTAAATCATATATTTTAATAATTAATAATTTGAATATAATTATTAATATTAAATTTGATATTTTATAATAATAAAGTTTTTGAATTTTTTTTAATAAGCTAAAATAATAAGAGTGGTGGAATATCATTTAAACGGGGTAGTATATATTAGGGTTCTACATCGGGTCTGATTTAGCCCGGCTCTATTTTTTTTAAATAATTTGCCCTATATTATTTATTCCACCATGCCTGATCCAAAATATATATTATATGTCCAGCCCAAATTTATTAGGAAATTAGCATTATTAAAAAATTTTTTTTAATAAATCCATAATAATGCTTAGCCCGATCCTGCTTAATCCAAAAAAATAATTTGAAAATTCAGTCCGACGCCCTATTAATTGGATAACCTTTCTTATAGACCTCTATTACATATTATTTTCAAAATTAAAAAAACTATTTAATTAGGCTGGAAAGGCGTAGCATGCTCTGACGGCACTAGAGCTCTGAGTAAGACTAGACAAATTATAAACCTCATATTACTAACTTTTAGTAACTTCATGTTTCTCCCTGCTATCTATTATTCGCTATCAATCCGATTCTATTCCGAATCTGCCGTTTACATGTTAAATATGATGTCATCCATGGTAATTTATAGGAATTGTATGCAATAAAATGAAGCATCGAAATATATTTTTAAAAATTAAATTATATGTTCCACCATTAGCAAACATATAATGAAATTCGATCTATTTTAAAATAAAATATTTTTTATCGATTGAAGTTTTACCATGCTTGTGATGAAGAGGTCATAAAGTTTTGTCTTTTACCCTATGAAGTGTTGCAATACATGGATTTCTATACCTCAATCCTTTCCACAATCGTTACTGTTCACGCTATATCCACCCTAGACATAGGAATTATATCCCTTTTAAATTTATTGTTCGCTATTGTAACCGCCTTCTTGGTTCAACTTAATAGACTTGGACTTTGGACATTTTTAGGACCCCTCATCGTTTCTTGCTTTATACTTTTGGCTTCGTGGGTACGCAATTATTATATAAATATTATTTTTATATTTAAAACTTTATCTAACATTTCAAATCCATTAAGCTATGTTTTTTTCCTATAACTATTTACCACCTAGTTTTATGGTCAACTCTAAATATCTAACTTCACTCATATTATCATTATTAACCTTAATATCGTTTTATTTCAGATCCTCTTTTTATCTGTGTCTTTTGTTGGATTTATAATTAGCATATACAGCATAATCACTGGTGATTTAACAGCTGATCGAGTTTATAAAAAAAATAATGAGATCAATATTGTTTTATGAATATTAATCGACAAATTATTTAAGGCCAAATTGATCAAAGAATTTATACGTTCTATAAAATCGCTAGCTATTATACCGCACACTTACAATAAATCCATCTTTCTTTTTAATAGAACTGTGCCGGTCCACAAATTTTGCTTCAATCCTATCCAATATTCTCCTTTTTCATACAAACTATATTTGATAACTGATGCCCATCCGATATGCAGATTAATTTTTATTCCATCAATCTTTGAACAAATGTCATAAGATATTTTCTATGCAAAAGAATATTTAGTTGCAAACTATCGATAACAAGAAACACTTTAAATTTTCCGTTCTCATACCTAGTGTAGGTCAAGGGTCCGGTCCTATCGGTCTTAGACCGGACTGGACCGATCTTTTTTGAGCCATAGTCCGAACCGACCTTTTTATTTTTTATGGTCCGGACCGGTCTTTTATTAATATTTATGTTTGCTTTATTATTTAATTCATATTATTTTTTACCTAATTTTTTTTGTATATTTTATTTTATTTTTCTAGTTATTGTAGTTTTTGTAAATTTTTTGTTCATTTTTATTTTGCAATATGAAAACCATAAGTTTTTCTAAGAAGCATTTTACTTATCCCGATAAACAAGAATTAAATCAGGTAAAAACAAAATTATTTTTAAAATACAAAAAAAATGAAAGTCCAGTCCTGAATCGACCTTTTTATTTAGGACCACGGTCTGGATCCATCTTTTTTAAACGACCATGATCTGGTCCGAGCACATCGGTCCGGTCCAAATACCGGACAATGACCTTTACTACTCATAGCCAACGCGATATATAGTGCATGATCACAAATGATTTTGTAAATTTTGTTTGTTTAATCCCCAAAAATTAATCATTTTGAAATATGGGCATTATTTATTGCTGATTGTGACCATAGACCTTCATGAGACTTGTTAATCAAACCCGGTCCAAGCCCTCGGAATCTTTAGGCCCGGTTAATATAATATTTAAAAAATTCCTAAGTCCATAATAAGTTTCAAAAAATTTTCCCAAGTCCATATCCAAAAATTTAATTTAATGTATTTCATGTAAATAAACAATATTTAAATATATTTAGACAATTATTTTGCTTAAAGTAATGGTTTGTTATTATTCAAAAGAAAAAAATGCAATATTTTTTTATGATAACAACTGTTTAAAATATACTATTTAAATATTTTAGCTCAAGCCCATTAAAAAAATTCAAAAACCGGCCTATTCTAGGCCCACTGGGAAATAAATATTAGACACATGAAGGTCTCTGATTGTGACTCATTAAATATTTTTGAATCCTTTTTTAGTTGAAAAAAAATATTTTTCTTTTACACAATTCAATTATAAATAAATTGAATTTTTGTTCATTTTTTATTATTAGGAAATTATGTATAAAATAATTAAATAAAACAATGATTATACCTAGGGGTGTGCCGACACCATTTTTTGGAGGCCGATCCGATATTAATTGATATTGGCCGATTACCGATCCGATATCATATCTGATTTTATATTCTGTAAACATACAAGTCGTTTTAATTTTTAATGCATCTACTCATCTCATGCTTTTTAATAGTATAACATCTATAATTTAACTATATCATAACATAAGTCATTTAAGTATAGTATAATGATCAGTTATAGTTTATATTTATGAATCTAAAGGTATAGAAAATATTTTTATTAATAAATCAATTATTTATACATCAATCAATTTACATAACAAATAATAAATAAATATATTATGAAATTTGAAATAAACTTTTCTAGATTATGATGTCATTTTACCGGACGGAAAATTTTATAATATCGGCAGATGACCGATATTTAAAAAGGGTTTGATATCGATCCGATCGGATGAAAATATTGGTATGTCTCTAATGATATCGGATCGGTTTTTTCAAAATATCGGCCTGATCTGGTTTTTCTAAACAGTAATTGTCCGCACATCCCTACTATTTATACTATAGATACTTATCTAATACGATTAAATTTTATTTAATCAACCGCCTTCACTACTTAACGGTTTTATGTGGCTCCATCTCGCCTTCCTTCCCTTCCTCTCGGGTCTATTTATTTATTTCTGTTTTTTATGACTTAGATCTTGAGATCAAACTTGAGCCATCTGTCATGAATGTTTTGATCTTACATTTCAATGAAAATGGTATCATTTGCATTTTTTTTGCCCTTGTCTTTAATATTTCATATTTTCACACACATTTCTATCTTTAATATCCTCATACACTTATTTTTAGTTCATCATCAACCTGCATCGTTATATGTCTCATTTTTTACAGTATATATATTTTTTTTCTTCTCCTTGACTCAACAGTTTCTTACACAATCAAGGTTTCATTCTCCATATGTTTATTAGGCGCCTCAGTAAACCTTTTTTGCCCTCATCTCATTATCAATCAAATTTCATCTCTCGTTAATGTTAAGCCAATTGAATTTCGCTTTAACTTAACAGCACATGCCTCTGCAGATTTATATGAATGGAGGAGATATTTGATTTGATATTTCTTTTAAAGAATAGAAATTAAAAAATAATTTGTGATTAAAAATGTGAGGTATGTTTTCTTCAAAAACATTTTCTGATGAAAACAAGGTGCCTCCGATTTACAGATTAATTAGCCCCATTTAGTCTTATAATCAAACTTCAGATACCCCGCCACCCTTTTTTAACATCTAACTATTAAGATAGCTGTAACTTTAATTGCTAACTTTATATATTACATATATTAATTCCTTCTACTAGACCACTATATAATCTATCTTTTCCTTTTACCCTTAGCTCATCATAGGGGAATAAGCTCAAATATTTAGATATCATATCCTAACCTAATGCCCATATTTAACTCTTAAAAGATCTTGGAAAATTATCTAGAAAACTTAAGTCAAATTTATCAGGTAATATCTTTTGAAATATTATTTCTTTAAAAAATAAATGAGTAAATATATTTAATATCAATCTATTTAAAAATATTTATTTAATATATTATCTATAGATATGGCGAAGCTACGCAACTAAAAAATTATTCCCTCCTAAAAATGTTTTATTAAAACACATTATACCAGGAATAATGGTGGCGTTTATAGGATTATTGGTTTTTGCATTTGCTCAAACAGAAGTAATGATATTTATGGGGGACAAAATATATATTTTTTAATCAGTATTTCAAACATTTAGAAATAATTACCGACTACTATTATTACCAAAAGCTATTATATATATATTTTAAAAAAATGCCACATCCCTGGGAGGAATTAAGGATAAGAAATTAGAGTTAGAATTCTCTAATAATGTCCTTTGGCGGAATTTAGATCTACGGTATCGGAAATATTTTTATTGCATTTAATAAATTGATAGGTCTGATTACATATAAATTTATTACACTAGAAGACTGACAATCAATTCAGTAAAACGAGAAAAATACCTTCTATTTTTTAAATATATTTTTTTTTATAAAATAGAACCTTAATATCGCTAGTTTTTACAACTTGACGGGGCTCAGTTTTTTATAAAAAAAATAAGAAAGAAAGATGTTCTTATAAATAATATATATTTTAAGTAAACAAAAATATTTAATAGAAAAAGACCCTATATTTTATATTATCAAACGTAAATAAATTGTGAAACACAACTGACTTTATTAATTTCTATGAACTTTACGATTGTCAGTTTATAGAGTGATACTGAACAACAGTGCATTTTAATCGCGACTAAAGGCAATAAATTCTAAGTTATTTATCTGAGCGTAGAGGGATAATATGGGGCATTCCTTATAATGCTATAGCTGAGATAGGATAAAGTCTTCATATGAGACAGGTGTAAGAAAATTGAGAATTTCTGAAACGTTATTACGGTGCAAATCCCGCTAGAATTACTTGGCAGTAAAGTGTTTGGATCTGGGAAGAATTCAAGTAACTAGGTCGACAGGCCATACCATCAGGGGTGGATGGACTGAGGACACTGCAGCCTTTGCGGGAAATTTTATAAAATACCTTATTCATATCTCCAATATTTATTTTTGTGGGCCTTCATCCCCGTTAATCCTAACCTTTGGCCAGATCTTACTATTAGGAGCTTATTATTTAATGATTTTTATTTATAATATTTCATTACTTTTTTTGTTTTTTTAAAGATTATTTTTAGTTAGGCTTATAAGTGCTATTTTGGCAATTAAATTTTAAATATTCAGCAAAAATGATAATTTAATACCCCCACCCCCTTTGTCTATGCCGCTGCTCGATAACATTAACAAATATGTCCATTAAAATTATAAACTTGATATTTTATAATATGAATTTTTTACAAATCGGTTATTTATATTTCATTAATGTTTTTATAACCTTAATCACATTACCGTCGTATTTTGACGTAATTATACCTAAAATTCGATTTGTTCTCCTCAACCGACATCAGTAAAAATGCCTTCAATATTTTGTCAAACCTTTGTCCGCAGTCGATTTCTTATAATTTGCTAAGGTTCTTTCACAATTGACCTGGGTGATTGACAATGTTAGTATACATTCATAAGCTACAAAATAGATTTATATAATAAGTTGTTTGCATATTATATCATTACATAAATACATAGCAGACTGCTTTTACCTATTATCGCACTGAGAGTTTGTTATTGGAATTAAAATATTTTTTCGGGCGGGCTAAAATGTGTTGATAAATAATATTTTAAACTTGAATTTGAAGCGAATTAAACGCCAAATTGTGTTTATAATTAAAGTACTGAAGCGAATTAAACGCTAAACTGCGTTGATAAATAATATTTTAACTGCTGAAAATTACGGCAAATCAAACACTTAGAAGTCTTGTAAATAATAATTTGAGGTTATAAAATCTTATAAAAAATATATATTAATTCGTTTTAAAAAAATATTTATTTTATTTAAAAATCTCGGGAATAAAAGGAGTAAGAACAATTTGAAATTATATAAAAAGGGGAAAAATAAATCCATCACGACTAGTGTTGCGTAATCGGCTAAAAACTACGCCTAAGCCTAATAAGGCTAAGCCTAAAAATCGGCTAAAATATTAGTCAAAAATTCTGCATCGATGCCTAGCATTAATAATTATTTATTTATTTTAGTAAAATAATTTATTTATATTTAATGTTAATATTTTATTATTATAGAATAAAGATTGAAATTAAATATGGACAAGCAATTAATTAAGAAGATTAATATAGTTGATTAATCATTATAAAAAAATGTGTTAAAATTTAATTCAAAATAAAAAATTAAAATACTTACATATTAATTATTTTTAATTTTTCTTAAATAATAAAAAAAAATGTTTAATATAGAATCTTTATTATCCAATAGTAATACTAATTTTTCCAATTTAAATGAAAACTCCCAATCTTCGTCGAGAATTCAAAGACCAAAAAGAATACACAAATTATTGGAATAAAGAAAAAATAGATATAGTTACTAAAATGTTTTCAATGCCAGAAAGAGAACAGATGAAAATTAAAAACATTGCAAAATACGTCGAAATGTCTACAGCATCAGTTCATAAATTTAGACGGGACACATTCCCAGATATAAATGGAGAACCTTTAAAAGAATATAATATTCAAAAAAGAGGAAGTAAAAAGAAAGATTCTTCCATTATTGAAAGAAGTATCATAAGCCTATTAATGGATAATAACACTTTGACTATTCAGGAGATATTGACTATTCAGGAGATAATAGAAAAGTTACCTCCTGGTATTCCAAAAACAAAAACCACAATTAGTAAATATATTAAAAATATTGGTTGGTCTAAAAAAAGGGCTGGCAAGGAGCCTGATAGAAGAAATACTCCCGGGGCTATTAATATTCGTCAAATTTATTGTGCAAAGATCTTAAATATCCCAAGAGAAAATTTATATTTCTTAGATGAGACTGGAATAAACTTGCATGTTGTACCAATCTACGCCTGGGCGCCATACAATGTCCGTCCAATAATAAAAATCCCATCCTCTAAGGGTAAAAATGTAAGTATCCTTTGTACAATCGGAATTGGAGGGGTAATTCATTATAAAATAATAGACGGAGCTTATAATGGGCTATTATTCCGTGATTCTATGACGGAGCTTATTAGTATCCTACCACCAGATGCAATCATTGTAATGGATAATGCATCTATCCATAGAAGCCATCTTATCGATTCGTATAAAGGTAGGATTGAATACCTACCACCTTATTCACCTCAGTTAAATCCCATTGAAAATTTTTTTGGAGTTTTGAAAAATAAATTTAGAGCAATCAATCCCCGCCCTAATTCAAGAGATGAAATTGTTAGGAATATTATTCAACTCTTACACGGATTTATTCCTTATGATTTCACTAACTTTTACAATCACATGCAAAGCTATTTGGAGTTGGGTTATCGCGGGCAACTGATTAATTAGGTAATCTTTATAATCGATTTGTATTAATAATTATAATATTAACTCTTTTAATTTCAAAAAGGTACCAACATCAAATTCGTGTAACAATGGAATATTTTGATAAATTATAATTATATTTTTTATGTATTAATTATTTTATCGAAATTATTATAAAAGTTTATAGTGTTATCATATTTTTATCGAAATAAATGGATATACAAAATAGATTACATTTAAGAAATTCTAAAATATTTTCAAATATTAAAAAGACTTTTTACAAAAAATGATTTAGAATTTTAAATGAAATTTAATCAAATATCTTACTTGAGCATTCTCAAAGAAAATATAAAAAAAAATTCATTTTTCATCACAAATTATATATATGTAACACATTTCTTTTTATAATGATTAATCAACTATTAATCTTCTTAATTAATTGCTTGTCCATATTTAATTTCAATCTTTATTCTATTAAAAATAAAATCTTATTTTGTTTACCACCTTTTAGTATATTTAAACATGTGTATCGTTTCACATCAACAAATAAACATGATATGATTTAGTATTTTTTATTTATATTGTTATATTTTGAAATGAAAATAAATTTATTTTAATAAAATTTATTTATTTGATGTTTTTTTAATAAAAAAAATAATATTGTAAAAATGTAATATTCTTTTTAATATAATTTATTAGTGATTTTCACAATCTTCTTTGTAAATACATCCTTTATTGATTGTAAATTTTATTAGATAAATAAAATCTTTAAGGTGAAATCTTTTATAATTCTTTTTTATCAATTTTGTAAAATTATCTATTTTTTTATTAAATGAGGTGTTTTTTCCTAAATAATTTTTTAAAAATATTTATATTAAACTTTTTTGATGTTATTTTATATGATCTTTTTAAGGATAATATTTTTTAATGTGAGAATTGTCATAATCGTTATTTTTAAAGTTTTTTGAATTTTTTGACGAAAATATGTTAAAATAAGTATTGATAACATGTTTAAAAATAATTTAGTGAAGATGTACCATAGATAAGTGACAATTGTCATAATCGTAGTTTTTTAAGTTTTTTGAATTTTTTGACGTAAATAGGCAAAAATCTGTATTTATAACATGTTTAAATAAAATTTAGTGAAAATGTACCATAGATAAGTGACAATTGTCATAATCGTTATTTTTAAAGTTTTTTGAATTTTTTTGACGTAAATAGGCTAAATAAGTATTGATAACATATTTTCGTCAAAAATAACGATTATGACAATTGTCACATATCTTTGGTACATCTTCACTAAATTTTATTTAAACATGTTATCAATACTTATTTTAACATATTCGTCAAAAAAAATCAGGAAACTTTAAAAATAACGATTATGACAATTGTCACATATCTATGGTACATCTTCACTAAATTTTATTTAAACATATTATCAATACTTATTTTAAGATATTTTCGTCAAAAAAATTCAGGAAACTTTAAAAATAACGATTAGGACAATTGTCACTTATCTATGGTACATCTTCACTAAATTTTATTTAAACATGTTATCAATACTTATTTTATCATATTTTCGTTAAAAAAATTCAAAGAACTTTAAAAATAACGATATGACAATTCTCACATTAAAAAATATTATCCTTAAAAAGATCATATAAAATAACATCAAAAAAGTTTATAAATATTTTTAAAAAATTATTTAGGAAAAAACACCTCATTTAATAAAAAAATAGATAATTTTACAAAATTGATTAAAAAAAATTATAAAAGATTGTTTATTTATCTAATAAAATTTACCAATAAAAGATGTATTTACAAAGAAGATTGTGAAAATCACTAATAAATTATATTAAAAAGAATATTACATTTTTACAATATTATTTTTTTTATTAAAAAAACATCAAATAAATAAATTTTATTAAAATAAATTTATTTTCTTCAAAATATAACAATATAAATAAAAAATATTAAATCATATCATGTTTATTTGTTGATAATAATAAAATATTTACATTAAATATAAATAAAATAAATTATTTTACTAAAATAAATAAATAATAATTAATGCTAGGCATCGATGCAGAATTTTTGACTAATTTATTTTAGCCGATTTTTAGGCTTAGCCTAATTAGACTTAGCCTATTAATAGTCGGCTAAAATTAGCCGATTACGCAACACTAATCACAACGAACCTGGGTTATCCTGAAATAAAGTTTTGCAAGAAAACTTTTATTATAAAATTGGTACCGTGACCAGGATTTCGACGCATAAACGGAGCTTCCCATTCGCTTTCATTATCACCAGCGGTGTTCTTGGTGATTATCTACTAATTTTCGCACTACCTCTTGCACTGAACAAATTAATTATATCCAAGATTTCATAATTAAAAGAAAATCTTAATGAATTATTGATAATAAGGATAAGAAGAAAATATATAAATAACCGAATATCACATGCCTCCACTACCTAGAGCTCAGACTCAAACAAGTTGAACCCTAGTAGCTCCTTTAATTATTTGGGTATGTCCACAATTGACTTGCCGTTGGGATTTGCCCGTTTGACAGAGGGCTCCACTACTGCTACCAGTCTAAACGATACCGACTCCTCAGATTTCATAGGAAGAGGTGTCCCTAGCCTCTTCGGGGTAGGTCAAATCGTCCGGATAGGCCAAGCCCCGTTCCTAGTCCGATTTCTGCTCCTCCATTTCACAGGCCCACGGGGGCATTGACCTTGCAGGTGGTCTTTAGACCGGCATATGTAACAAGCTCGTACTTAATTCCTGACTCTCCTCTGAGAGGATGGCTAGCCCGGGGTAATTCTGACCCTTCATCCATATGATTCGCTAATATGGCTCGGGTTGGCAAAATTCTCATCTAAACGGTCCTTGGGGCCGCATAGTCTAGCGATAAGGATGGTATCCTTTCACCTACAAGACCCTGGAAAATGCTCACACGTATATGTTTCCCGTTAGTTTGTGTAGGCCAGATATCTTTAAATTTGCCCAGCGGAAAACATTTTGTTTTATATTCACAAAAATAATAACTTACTATATTTTCTTTGACCCAAAAGAATTCCTTTTCAAAAAAATTTACAAAATATCTAAAATAAAATTTGAACCAGTTTATTTATACTTTTCCTCTCCCACTCCTTTTCAACAGAATTATTTAACAATATATTTCCACAATTTTTGATTTATGTTAGTTCCAAATTACTCGTTTCCCTCATTTTTTTGGGCTTCATTCCCTTATTAAATTTAACTAAAATTATCTCTCACGCCAAGCTATGATATATTTCTTACATTGTCGGCCTGTACAAATATATATTTTTGTTTTATAACACCAACTAAGACGGGAATCCATAGATGCTTATACTGGGAAAATATCAATATACGTATGAGCATTTTCCCGGGTCGAGTGGATGAAGAGGGCAGAAGGATATCACCCTTATCGCTAGACTATGCGGCCCCGAGATCCGTTAAATGAGGATTTTGCCAACCCGATATTAGCGAATCATAGATGAAGGGCCAGAATTACCCAAACCTAGCCATCCAGAGCCACGTTCGCAGAGGAAAGTCAATAATTCAGTACGAACTTGTTACATGTGCCGGTCTAGGGACCACCCGCAAGGTCAATGCTCCCGTTGGCCTGCGAGACGGAGGAGGAGCAGAAGGCGAACTAGGAATGGGATTTGGCCTATTCGGACGATTTTCCCATCCCTGACGAGGCTAGGGACATCTTTTCCTACGGAATCTAGGAATAGATGTCTTTTAAACTGGTAGCAGTAGTGGAACCCTCTAACAGGCTGTGGACTTAAATCCCAACGGTGGAGAATTAAGAAATCGCCAATTGTGTACATATCAATTGAAGATTTGGAGGAGCTATTAGGGTTCAACTTGTCGGAGTCTGAGTTCTAGGTAGTGATGGCATGTAATGCTAGGTTATTTATATGTTTTTTTCTTATCCTTATTAATAATATTTCATTTTAGAATTTTCTTTTAATTATGAGATTTGATATAATTCGTTTAAGTGCAAAAGAGAGCCCGAAAATTTTCACCATTTCTTAGTTTTAATTTTTACAGTATAATTTCTCAGTTAATTTCTTAGTAGTCTCTTTTAACGTATGGTATCTTTATTAGTCTTAATATTTATGAGTCGCTTTTAATATATGGTAACTATTAATTTTATGATAATTATCTACTTATTTTCTCACTCCCTCTTCACTTTGACATCCCGAATTCTATCTCTTTATTTTGAAATTCCTTTTAAACAAATTTATTAAACTGTAGAAAATTTTAAAAATCATGGACAGGCTGGTTAAATATTTTGAAAACAACACCCATTTGAGATCTTTACCTACTTCAGCTTTGACAATTAAACTAAGACATACATTTAGATTAGATCATATATCTTTTTGTTAAATCCTTTTCTGGCTCCATACTGAAGGAGAACTGAAGATTTTAGAACTAATAAGTATAACAGCCTAATCCTTCTTTTGTTCCGCATGTCTCCTGTACGAGGGGCTACTATTCCCCACGAAGTATCTAGAAATTTGTTTCTGCAACTGAGTTTACGGGTCACGTTCTTCCAACTTAACTTAATAGTTATCCAATTTTTAAAAATATTTTTATTTTAATGGCTTTTTTTTATATTACATTATGATATTTTAATTTTAGAATTAATAATGCATCTTCAATATATATGTATCGAATATACATTTGTAATTCAAATTTTTTTATCTTCCTTAGGACAATTATCCGTATATTCACAGTTTATGGCATATTATGATGTCGATATCAATCTTAATATTATTAACAGAGAAAAAATCACAAAGATTAAAATTGTGTCAAAGCCAAATCTTAAATAATGATAATTCTAATATACCTAGAGAAATTGAAGAGCCCTTGGACTTACTTTCTTGATGTTGTTTATAAATTTATATTTCAATTTTTGGTGATAGTCATTGTCATTCATAATGTTAAATAGTTTACCTTTCGTTTTTAATATATAAAAAAAAAATTATTTTTATGTATGTAAAACATCGACCATTTTTTAAAAATTGTAAATTACATATTTATTAATATATACATAACTAAATTGTGCAATAAAAACTATTCAGAACATTATCCTCTCAAAATTTTATAATATTTAGATTTTCTTATTTTTATTCTCATACTTTTTATAATTACTGCCTGGTATCAAAAGTAGTAGATAAGCTTAAATAAATTGAATGGGTGAAATAATTGAAAATTAATCCTTTTTTACCTACAGCAAAGTCGAGTCAAGTTTTTAGTCGCAAAACTCATTTCAAATTGAGCGGCTCAATAAGCCGCATGAGTTGGATTCAGAGTTAGCTCGTTGAATCGGCTTCATAGACGGCTAAAATTAATTTTGAATTGGCTTGCTATTATTTTACTCCACGATGAAAATATTAAAAAATTTTAACCATTTTGGTTTGGGAATTTAAATATTTTTAAATTCGAAATTTTAAGACTTATATATATATTATTATTACCATACATTATTGGACATTTCTCTGATAGATGTCCAAACATTTGTGCTATCTATGACCACAAAATCTTAAGGCTTCGTAATTGTTATCTGGACAAAATATTAAGGGTTAAGTAGCCATAATAATCATAATGTAAAATCTCATAAACGTAAGATTATAAAGAGTTATTGTTTTTTATATATAATATTTAAAATAATTGTATATTTATAGGTAGTATTGTTAAACGACTCGATTTGAGCCGATATTTTAAAACGGTCCTCAATATTTTATCCAGAAACTATTACGCGAGCCTTAAGATCGTGATCTTAGATGGCGCAATAGTTTCGACATCTATCAGCAAAATGTCGAGGTTTATAAAAATAGCATAGTCATATTTTTACAATAATACACATAACTCCTAAAATTTCGAATTTAAAAGTATTTAAATTCCCAAACCAAAGTGGTTAAATTTTTTTAGGATTTTTATCTTGGAATAATAATAACAGATCGATTCAAAATAAATTTCAGCAGATTCATCGAGCTGACTCTCAGGCGGCTCATTGAGCCACTCAATTTGTAATAAGTTTTGCGATTCCAACTCGAGTTCAGAAGGCTTTACCCCAGAGCCTAGAAGGTCATATAAACTCTAGCACCATACCTATATGCATTATAATCTTCAGCAACCCTTATTTAATTAATAATCTGAGTAATGTAAAGTCTAACCATTAATTTTGTGTAAGGTGACACTTATTTTCATTTAAAAGTAAAAAGCCCTCAAATTTTTTTTCATATTATGGATAATATAAAACTAAATTTTAACTCTTACCTATAATATTACCTACAGGACAGTAGTCAAAGTAAAAAAAAAGTCCCGATCAAAAAAGGAAGAGTCTAACAAGAAAAGGTTTAAAGAAAATTTTATTTTTTTGAAAAGAATTTTATAATTTTTTTTGTTGTCTTTTTAATAAATCTGAAATGTTATTTTTAATTCCCTCTTTTCTTTTTTTAACCTTCCTGATCTATCTTATAATATTATATTATTTTTAATTAATTTTGATTATAATTTCACAATTTTTTTGAACACAATACCTAAAATTAGTATTCATCGATAAGGGAACATAACAAAATAGTTCAAATGTAGCTTGTATAATAATATACAATTCAAAATTTAATACCAGCCATAGAGGGATGCTAAAAAAAATCAACCATATATCCAATTAAAAAAATCAAACCAATAATTTAATGAATTCTATAAAATGTGACATTTTTGCATTGCAAATTATTGTCCATTCTCTTTCCTGATTCAAAAATAGCCAAAAACCTAAAATGCAGAAAAATAAAATCTTTAAAAATAATTAATTGTTAAATTATGCTAACCTTATTACTTATTTAATTTAACTGTCATGTACTAAAACAGCTTAATTTAGAAATCTGCAGGCCCGAACTTGTCCTGTCTCGTATATCATGTCAGAAATACACCTAAGTGATATTAGAAATCCAGATGTCGAAATAAAAAATTTATAAATCTGGATTGGTCCTAAAGATATTTTTATGCAAAACTCATGTCAGACACATGTCACTAAACTCATATTTTTAAATCTTTTGAAATTCATCAAAAACTCAAGCTGCCTAAAGTTTTTTTCTAAAATACCTTCATTGGATAGGATTATAAAATATGGACTAGGCCCAAAAATTTGACCTTTACAGTAATCTGAATAAAATGTAACCAAATTCTTTATTTATAAAATTTCACATCAGTCATTAACCTTATATAATTTGTTTTTATAATTGTAATAATAAATTGTTTAAAAAGAATGGATACATATTTGTACAATTTTTATACATTAAAGGCACATACCCTTTCGTTACTTCGTCAAATTGTAGCATAGGTGGAGTATGTACTGGTTTAGGAATTCCTCCTCAAACAATATCACAAACACTCGGAGTTATTAAAGCTTACACAACTAGAGTCGGTGCAGGCCCATTTCCTACAGAATTATATGATGTATTAACATTCCTATTTTATATATTAATATAAAGGAAAATATTCAATTGTAATTTTGTAAAATCTGATGTTATTAAAATATTCTCTTTTAGGATATTGGCTTTCATTTGCGTGAAAAGGGAGGAGAATATGGGTCTACAACTAAACGGCCAAGAAGATGCGGTTGGTTGGATTTGGTTGTTGTTAAATATACTCATATGATCAACTATTATACTGCGTAAAACTGATTTTAAAATTTCTTTCTAGCTAAACATTTATTATTCGATATATTTTAATCACTTATTGATATTTATTTATTATAAAAGATTGGTGTTAACAAAATTAGATATATTAGATGGATTTAAACAAATTAAAATTGGGTACGAATACCATTTGAATGGTCAAGTCTTACAGTCATTCCCAGGTAATGTTAATTACAATCTTTTTAAAAAAATATGGGTAATTAAAATTTTGTGCAAAATATTATACACTTATTTTAAATTGATTTAATATTAGCCGATCTAGATAAGTTGTCCAAAGTTGAGGTCAAATACCTGACGCTTCCTGGTTGGATGTGTTCAACATCTAATTGTAGAAAATATTTCGATCTTCCTAAAGAAGCTCAAGAATATATTCAAAAAATCGAAGAGCTAACAAACGTACCTGGTAGATATATTTTTTATCTATTCAATAGTTATTTAGTTAGAATGTAAATTTGGGTTTTTGGTAAAATAAGCGTTTCTCATTTTCGCCTAAATTTTATCTTAATTTATTCTTTTAATTATTCTAGTCAGATGGATTGGCGTTGGACAAGAACGTTCTTGTATTATCGAAAGAACCTAATTTCGCGACTTCTTTTTTTTTAAATTTTACCATTAAATTAGCCAAAAATAAAGAAATAATTATAATTTATACATGGAAATTTTAGCTATTGCAAATTATTTGATTATAATATGACAGTCTAGATCAATTCGTGCATAATGAAACTTAATAAACCTCATTAATTTTTTGTTAAAGTTCAAAAATATTTAAACAATATATTAAAATTGGAACATTTTATTTATTTTCTTGCTAATCCTTTTTTTGGTCCAAGCCCAATGGTAAAGAGCTTTTCTGCTCTTGGTGCCTAAGCCCATCTCTCAACCTACTTTCTTTTTTTTAAATTGTTTTTATTTTATTTTGTTGATGAAATAGTATTTATATATTAGATCGGTGTAGTCCAAAGCCTGGTCCACAGTTCGGGAAAAAATATTTGGGCATGGGTCTGTGTAATTGTTCAAAATATTTTTAGAAAATGTTTAAAGCTGCTAATTAGCCAATTTTATGTCGTTTCCCTTCACACAAAAATTATTACAGGTGGGCTGACCGATTGAAAATTTTTACATCTTAATATATTGTCTGCCCTAATTATTTTTATTATGTAGATATTTAGGCATCTATTCTAAAAATATTAACTCAATCAATATTCTTGAAGTTTCTCTTATATGTAATACAAAAGTTTTGAAATAAAATAAAGTTTATGAATTTTATTTTAAAACGGCTTATCTTTCATCTACTGATTATTTGTCAGTTAGAAACCTGCAGAATTGATTGATTTTTTTGATCTGGACATAGCTTGACTCGACTTTTTATAAAGATAATTTCAATTTTTATTGAATATAAAGTTTCAAAAATGAACCTTATGTAGATAATTAAAAAGTACACCTATAGACAAACAAATATTTCTCCTATGGGTCATCCCACATAAAATTAGAAATTTTGGACGACATCTTTCAGATTAGATATTAATAAAAGAATTTACAATGGTTAGGTATGGTTTGGATTATTTCAATCAAAATTTTTATGCTCCAGCTCCATTACCCTGCATTCACTGCGAATTCGCGGCCAAGTATATAAAAATACAGCATATTTTGTACACTTCGCAAGATATATTTTTAAAACTACCTATGATTGATAGGTTGGTTCTGGAAGCATGAGCAATAAGTGTGAAAAAGGCTATTGCTCAATTTTGCAATAAACAAAAATATATATAGGGACCTATATTTTATATCATTAGACAGCCTTTAAAATACTCTATTTAAAAAAATACTTCTGTGCCGATCCACATTTCACCAATCCGATATTGGTTCAAAACCGATCAGATATTTATATTGATTTTTTACCAAACCCCCTTTGAACCAAATGTAATTAAAAAATCGAATTATGCATTTAATATTTTTATTTCTACAATTATTACTATAATTTAAAAAAATTATATTATAATAGATAAAAAAATATATATTTAATAATGTGCCCATTTTATTTTGAATAATATATATTTTTTAATTTTTCCCTGAATTTTCAAAAATTTATTTACAGGATATTTTTTTTCATTTAACCTTTTCTTTTTAAAAGGTGTCTCCCCTAAAAATGGCAAAGTTTCATTTAAAGTTGAAATTGAAGTATTAAAATCTGTATAAGAGTCGGGATTATTGCATGGTTGATCAGGTTCAGAATCGCTAAATGTTTCATTAATAGTTGAGGTAGAAGGTAAGTTAGAAATAGAAGGTAATGTGATCGGGATCGTAGAAGTAAAAGGTGAGATCAGATTTGTTGAATATTTTTTAATTTTTTCCGGCAAGAGTTACAAATTTTTTGATTAATTGATAAGCTAGAATACACTTCTATCATCCATTGTAAAACATTTCTAAGATCGTAACGTACTGAATGAGATTTTATTCTAAAGGGATTACAGCACTTTACTGGAATAGAAATATCTTTTCTAGACATTTAAATTTTTTTGGTAAGGAATAAAAGATAGCTATTAATTTTATATAATTATTTTAAATTAAAAATAAATTGCATAATGAATACCGATAATTTAATTTTCTTAGAAAAATGGCTTTATAAAATTAATCAATATAAATGACGGCTGTTGCTGTTGGAATTGAATTTGATTTTTATGATAATTATTTTATTTGATAATTAATTATAAGTAGAAAATAATCTTTATGAAAATATATTTCTGACTATCACAAAGATAATTTTTTATCCGGCAAAGAAAATAATCTACATAATTCACTCATATAATTGCCAGGTCAAAAATCTCGAATTTAAGAAGAAATTTTTTTTTGGGGGGGGGGGGCGAATATAAATCTTAAGATGGTTCGGATTTCAGTTTTAATACTATTATTCACAAGTTAAAAAAATAATTACTCATTTCGTATAATATAGAATTTAAGCTATACTATTTATTTAAAGCGTAATAACTATTGGCCCAGTAATGGTCCCAATCTAGGATTTTGTACAAATATTAAGATATATAATGTCTATTTGTTAAAAAATTTTGAAAGAAAAAAAAGGGCAATTTTTATTTTATAACCATTTCCGGTTTTTGGTAATAAAATTATTTTTAATATAATAAATTTTATATCATATTAAAGGGCTATTCTAGAGTTATTTAATAAAGTTTAAATTATACCTTTAGCTTAATTACTTTTTGAGATATTTAAAGTTAAATATGGTGTATTTTGAACTTTTCGCGTTTCTAAAGATGGCCATATCTCATGAAGTAAGCTGAGTTGAGAATTAAAATTTTATATTATTGCTAGTTAGTGTATATACTACCATCATGCAAATTTTAAAAAAAATCGAAGAGGGTCGGGTTGAATCTTCAGTTGATTTGATATGGAATACAACATATATAAGTTGGTATGAATTATAAAATTATAATATATTCGATTTTTTTAAATAAATATTAGAGCCTTTAGATTTCTGTCAATTTGCTTCTACGATGTAGACTATTTATATCCCCTGCCGTACGGAAGATAGACTCAGTCAGATGATATATTTGTGGCAAGAGGCGCCAAAAATTTGCTTGACAAGTTGGATACTTTTCGGCATTAATTCAGGGATATAATATCAATGTTATTAGAATTATCTAAATAAACAGACATAAAATTAGCACCTTTGATTTTCAATTTGAACAAATAAATTTCGGGGGTGTTGTGATTTCCCTTTCTTTAAAAATAAATAAAAAATTAATATAGAATTTTTTTTAAAAAGATTCAGAATCTCTCAATTTTTATAAATAAAATATCTGAAATATTATAATATAAAATAAACTGTATAAATATATATAACATAAAATAATAAACAAACGTAAAAAGATCGAATAGGTTTCTTACAGGTATCGGCCGATCCGATATTTTTTGAAAACGCTATATATCGGTCTCGTATAGTGTTGCGTAATCGGCTAAAAACTAGCCTAAGCGCTAAGCCTATATAAATCTGCTAAAATTAAATTAGTCAAAATTCTGCATCGATGCTTAGTATTAATTATTATTTATTTATTTTAGTAAAATAATTTATTTTATTTATATTTAATGTAAATATTTTATTATTATCAACAAATAAACATGATATGATTTAATATTTTTTATTTATATTATTATATTTTGAAATGAAAATAAATTTATTTATTTGATGTTATTTTAATAAAAAACATAATATGCTGCTATATTGTAAAAATGTAATATTCTTTTTAATATAATTTATTAGTGATTTTCACAATCTTCTTTATAAATACATCTTTTATTGAGGAATTATATTGTAAATTTTATTAGATAAATAAACAATCATTTAGGTGAAATCTTTTATAATTTTTTTATCACTTTTTTTTAAAATTATCTATTTTTTATTAAATGAGGTGGATTTTATGAAACTTTTTTGATGATTTTATATGATCTTTTTAAGGATAATATTTTAATGTGACAATTGTCATAATCGTTATTTTATAAGTTTTTTGAATTTTTTTGAAGAAAATAGGTTAAAATAAGTATTAATAACATGTGTAAATATAAATTTAGTGAAGATGTACCAATGAAAAGTGACAATTGTCATAATCGTTATTTTTAAAGTTTTTTTGATGACAATATGTTAAAATAAGTATTAATAACATGTTTAAATAAAAATTTAGTGAAGATGTACCATAGAAAATTGACAATTGTCATAATCGTTATTTTATAAGTTTTTTGAATTTTTTTGAAGAAAATATGTTAAAATAAATATTAATAAGTTGTTTAAATAAAAATTTGGTGAAGATGTACCATAGAAAAGTGACAATTGTCATAATCGTTATTTTATAAGTTTTTTGAATGTTTTTAAGAAAATATGTTAAAATAAGTATTAATAACATGTTTAAATAAAAATTTAGTGAAGATGTACCATAGAAAATTGACAATTGTCATAATCGTTATTTTATAAGTTTTTTGAATTTTTTTGAAGAAAATATGTTAAAATAAGTATTAATAAGTTGTTTAAATAAAAATTTGGTGAAGATGTACCATAGAAAAGTGACAATTGTCATAATCGTTATTTTATAAGTTTTTTGAATGTTTTTAAGAAAATATGTTAAAATAAGTATTAAAAACATGTTTAAATAAAAATTTAGTGAAGATGTACCATAGAAGTGACAATTGTCATAATCGTTATTTTATAAGTTTTTTGAATTTTTTTGAAGAAAATATGTTAAAATAAGTATTGATAACATGTTTAAATAAAATTTAGTGAAGATGTACCATAGAAAATTGACATTGTCATAATCGTTATTTTTAAAGTTTTTTGAATTTTTTTGACGAAAATATTTTTAAATAAGTATTAATAAGATGTTTAAATATAAATTTAGCGAAGACAATGAAAGGTGACAATTGTCATAATCGTTATTTTTAAAAATTTTTGAATTTTTTTGACGAAAATATGTTAAAATAAGTATTAATAACATGTGTAAATATAAATTTAGTGAAGATGTACCAATGAAAAGTGACAATTGTCATAATCGTTATTTTTAAAGTTTTTGAATTTTTTTGACGAAAATATGTTAAAATAAGTATTAATAACATGTGTAAATATAAATTTAGTGAAGATGTACCAATGAAAAGTGACAATTGTCATAATTGTTATTTTTAAAGTTTTTTGAATTTTTTTGACGAAAATATGTTAAAATAAGTATT